TGGTTCAACTTTTTTTTCAAATGTTTTCCCTTCTTTGTATCATTTTACTTGCTTTCTGCAGTCACAGTTTAGTTTCCTTTATAGGAAACATTCTTTGAATACAAAATTGATTCTAAATCTTGGGCTAAAGATCCCCCAAAAATTAATAGGGCAGCCAGACAAATATGGCATATTTTACTTTGCTTCTACAGGAATGATGTAGGGCTGAGAGCTTATTCCCTGCCACATGGAGGAGAATTGCCCATTCTTTCTTGCCAATGTCTTGGCTGATCACGTGCTTTCATTTCTTCAATGAAATGGAACTTGAAATGCCCTTGTATTGCTACCACAAACAAGCAGCTTCCTACCTATTAATTGTTTCTAGGTTAGGTTGAGTCTGGTCCATGTGTGTGGACTAAAACCCCAGAGATGGGGCTCAGATTCTATCAGACAGATCTGGTAGCTTTAAGGTTTCAAGATTCCAGGGCTGGAAGCTCAGTGGCACCACACAAGCTCAAGGTCCTGAGTTCAGTCCCTGGCACCAAAAAAAAAAAAAAAAGACTTCAAGATTCCAACCTCAAAGAATTATCAGAAAGCTAAGTAAATGAGAATTACATAGAATATAATTTTACAGCAAAATATGAGGAAACTGGATCACACCAAGGCAAGAGAATTTGAGTGTGAAGTATGACACGTGAGCCTTGTTTTCGTATTGCTGGACATCTGCTAACTGCTTCACATTATGTTTTCATGTAATTTTTGGCTTTCTTCCAAGAGTTAATAACAACATTAATTAAAGAATATCCCAAATAAGACTGATCTCAGATTGTATGTGTTGGCTATTTTAGTATTTAAAAATGAAATTATGCTCATCTGTTCTGTAATGTGGAGTCTATGAAATTGTACCAAACGATATAAAGAGATAAAACAAATAAGAGATATAATCACATTCAACTGGCAAGGCAAACATACTCAGCAGGGAGAGGGGTATATAGTGAAACAGTGGGCATCAGAGGTGCTAAGGGACGGGAAATTACTTAGGACAAATATGTGTAAGCCCAGACAGGGAGGCGAGTCTTTGAAAAACCTGATTCAAGAGACAAAAAATTGGCTGCTTTCCAAAGAACAACAGAATGATAACACAAATCTCTTTAATAAGAAGAGATTAAAGGAGTTAATAATAAGGGACTTAGATAAATACTTATTAAGATGCAAGACAGAACTCTCCTAAGATGTGATAGCTCAAAAGCACTTTGAACCCTTGATGATTAAAGTGCACCGCACAGGTGCACAGACAGGATGCCCACCAAGACAGGAAATGGAGCATTTACCGAGACACAGCCACATGATTCAATTAAATGGAAATATATCCAATTGAAGGGAATGTCAAGGAGACCTTTTTTAAATTTTTTTCTAAATTTAATAAATAGATTAACTAGATTATGTATTTAGTCTTCCTGGGAACAAGAAGGATAGCGTTACTTCGTTGCTAGGGAGATTTAAAATTAGCCGCGGAGTAGGAATCAATATTTCTTGGGTTAGACTAAAAGAATGTAAACTTTCCTCCATCACATTCATTTCTGCAATTCTGATTCCACCTTAGATGTTGTCAGAGCATATGTGTGCTATTTACTGTTACAATCATGTATGTTTTAATAGTTATTATTTCTGGTTTATATAATTTATTGCTCTCTCTTCTGGATCTAGTGGTTTGCAATTGGAGCAGGCTCAGCATTTGTCAGTGAATGGTCTGTAGAAGGTGACTGCTCTCCTAGACTGGCTTGTGTATCTCAAGCCCTCACCTAGGCTCACTTAAATTCACCTGAAAACAGTAATGAAAACCCAATTTCATTATTACCACACATCCACTTTCTGTGGATAGAAACATGGAAAATCTGGAACAGTGCCTAGCAGGTTGTAGGCACTTACTAAAGTTTTCTGAGTGAGAAAGAAGTCGAAAATGAGTTTATCTTTCCAGGTATCCATGAGCAGTGTTAGTTAAAAGTTGTTTTGTTTTTCTCTTGATTTTCTTTTTAAGTGTAGGAAAAATGATCCCTCATAGATACCACAGCTCATAAATTTCTGACCTCTATTTTTTCCTGGTGTTATGTCTGCAACACTGAAAGGTATGTTGTTCAGTTTCACTTCTATAATACACAGTTCTCAGATTCAGGGTCAGATCCTACAGAGTCATTTTACAAAGGAAGAGGGATAACAAAGCTGTAAAAACTTTGCATCCTTTAACTACTCTTCAAAAGTATCCTTGGGCCGGGGATTTAGCTCAGTGGTTCGGTGGCCTGCCTTGTAAGCGCAAGGACCCGAGTTTGATCCCTGGTGCCAAAAAAAAAAAAAAAAAGAAAAAAAGTATACTCATGTAGTGTCCCTCTATTCTTATCAGCTTTAAATAACACCAAGAAGTCTTTTAGCTTGAATGTGAAATAATTATAAATTGTTATTTATATTATTTTCAAATTATTGTGTCACTTAAGCGCATTTTGTTACGTATGGAACTTTATGATAGGTAGCAAAAATATATACTTTGAAAAAAAATATATTATTTTCGAAAATGAAGTTGTGGGATCAACAAATGTGACTGCTAGTTAAAGCCAAGCATCTTCAGCTAATTTTCTCATGTAGCTATGAGGATTCCAGATGCTTTTCAAATTTTTGCTAGGAAGGCTCTCATAACTGCATCTTGATGAGGGTAACCCACTTTCTGACTCAGAAATTTTGTAAGAGTCAAAATAAGGCATACATATTGAAGATAAACTTGGTAGAATATTTAGTGCTCTTTACATTAAATGCCATTTTAGATGATTGCTTGGCATTTGACTTCATTAACTTACTAAAAAATGTCTCCTGTAAAATTTTATCCTAAGAACTACTAGCTTTTTGATTTTATGACTTTTGCTTTTTAGTTAGCTACACATGATATTTACAGATGTCTCTATAACATTGTTGGTGTTTAGTCCTTTGATTAGGAGTATAATCTGCCACCATATTTCTTTAATGGAAAAACCAATCGTGACTTTTCCAGAAATGCAGACCACCAAAATGAGACAAAGACTAGAATAGGTCCAGCAACCAACTTTAGCATGGATTTGCATGTTCATATTCCACACTGTGGATACAGCAAAATCATCTCTAATCAATGTGGATAATATTCTTCTTAATACAAGAATTCTTGTACTTGTTTGGATCACCATCTATCAGCATCCTCAACCCTGAAGCCTGGGCCTGCAATGCAAGTTATATGACCCCTGAGCTGACTATTTTGGATTGAATTCTCTGTTGGAGAAAGGGGAGAGGACTACTAGTTTAGGCACAGTGACCTGGCTCAGCTTTCGTGCTGTCTAGCCTAGCTTTTCTTTCTTTCTTTCATTCTTTCTTTCTTTCTTCTTTCTTTTTGTGCTGGAAATGGAACTCAGAGCCTGTGCATACTAAGCATACATTCTCCAACTTAGCTATACCCCCTGCCCTAATTTTTTCATTGGTTGTTGCAGTTTATATTTGTCCTAATAGCATCTGGGTCATTTTTGGATATCAAGATTCACGGGACAGCAATGAAACAGAGCTAGACATACTATATATTCTCTCTAGTCTGGCCCTGTATCCTGACCTGTGAGTATTTAGATAGATGAAAAAGATAGCCCAACGGATTGTTTCTACAACCACCTCCATAAACATTTCACTCATAGTCCTGTCATACAGGTTGGACCAGTTTATATAGAACAAGCCATAAACACTTTAGTGTGGAAAAATAGTATTATATAAAGCTTAATATTAAACATTATGAAAAATACATATTTACAGGAGAAACTACAAAATATAACTATATACAACAATATGTGTTATCTTTAAATTACATAAATTCTTTAACATTCTCCAGATTAATAAATTATACACAGTATTAACAGAAATAGCTGGCACCTTGGTAGGGCATGAAGGAAGTTTTTTGTTTTTGTTTTTGTTTTTTTTAAATCACACAGTGAAAAATTTTTATCCAGGAGAACTTCAGGGACAATCTTAATGTCTTGAATAGACTGCATCTGAAAGGAAGGACAACATATTTAGAGACTCTAGCACAGTGTGTGCCACAAAAATCTGTTTATGAAAATTACAAATGAGAGAGATTAGCAAAAATGACTAAAGCTGAGTATGTTTTAGGGTGAGACCATCTCTATGGGACCAGGTCATTCCATTAAAAACAGAGCATCAGGCTTTGAAGGGAGTAGAGTTGCTAGTCCATCCCTTCTGGTTTTACAGGTGAAGCTAAGGGCCAAGAGAGTCAGAGTAACTCACTCAAGGTTACACAGCTCATTAATAATAAGGGGTAGTTCATAGTTCTGGAGCTAAGATCTGTATTCTAGCCTTCAGATATGGGTTATCTTTTTTCTATCCTGTAGTTAGTTTCTTTCAGCCTCTCTCAAGATCCCTCTAAAAAAAGACTCTAAAGGCAAAACTAGACAAAGAACTTGTAAGATTTCCCCAGAGCTCTCTCCATCCTGAAGCTTCTTAAAGAATATGAATATGCAAAAACCTTAATTTACTAGACAGATAAATTAGGGTGTAATTATTTACAATACAAAAGGATTATCTGATTTACAAAAGACTTCTCTAAACAGTAACTCTTTATCTGTGCTTTACAGATTATTAACTCTTTAGTATACTGGTTAGACTGGTCAGTATAGTGGGTATAGAAAATTACAAATGTACCTTTATATTTGCAATTGGCCTGTGTGATAATGATGGCCCAAAGTAGGAAGAGGCATACTTTTCTTTTGTCAGTTAATTATGGCTTGATCAAAGCAGTGTTTTAAAAGATTTATACTTTTTTTCTATAAAAGTTTATACTTGAAAAGTGTTACTTGCTTGTTCTAGAAATATACTTACAATAGAAGAAAAATAATCACATATTTTTCTATTCAGAGAAATATATTTTAGTATAATATTTTCTCCCAGTCTTTAAAAAATTTTTTTGCCTTACGAACTGTTTTTGTCTTACATTCTGCCCTTCTTGCTTAACTCACGCTATGCCTCAGGTATGGTTTGTCACCCAAAGATTCTTGTGTTGGAAACCTGGGCCTCAGTATAATGGCACTGAGGTGGAGGTGGGACCTTTAAGAAGGGGGTCTCAGTGGTATTTGAGTTTCACGACTCCCCTTGTGAAGGAATTAACCACTGGTCCTCCAGAGTGGGTTAGGTTTTCTAGGAGTGGATTAGGTCTAGATTAAGATTGTTATAAAAGAGCACACCTGGCTCCTCTATAGCTTGCTTCCTCTTTTATCATGTGATCTCTTCCACTGTCTGCCACATGTGGTCCTGCTGTGTGGTGCTGTTACCGCGTTGTGATTCAGCCACGAGGGTTCCCTACAGGCTGAACAGATGGGATCTGCCTGCTCTTGGACATCCAGCCTCTAAAACTGGGAGCTAAAGAAAACTCTTCTTTTTTTTTTCTCTTTTCTTGTTCTGTTTCTTCTTTGTGATGGTTAAGCTTAATTGTGTAAACTAGATTGGCTTGGGAGCTGTCTAGGGGATTAATAAAACACACGTCTGGGTGAATCACAGAGGTGTGACCCTGGGTACTGTATCTAGTCCCTCACCTTTTCCTCTCTGGTGCTATATCCCTGTTCTGCTTCCTGGCTGCCATGAACTGGGAACTTGGCTCCACCCCCCTTTGGCCACCATGTTCCTATCTAGCCAGGCTGGCCATGCCATGTGCCCCCTTAAATTTTGAGCTAATTTAAATCTCATCTTTTTTAATTTATGGGTGTCAGGTATTGTGTCTCCAAGCTGACCAATACATTCTCCCTCTATCTTTGGTTTATTTTGGGTGTGTGTATGTGGTTCGGGGACTTGAACTCCTTCTAAGTATGTGCTCTACCACTGAGCTGCACACCCAGCTAAAACCTCTTTTCTTTGTAGATATTGGCCTCAGGCACTAAAACAACTGATTTATAAGAAAATCCATATTATTATAATATCCTCAAAAGCATCATTATTGAGCCAGGTATGATGCATGTGTCTATAACCTCAGCCACATGGGAGGCTGAAAGGGGAAAGATTCTTGAACTCAAGAGTTTGAGGCCAGCTTAGGCAATACAGTGCGATTGCATGTAAACAAAATAAATATAAATCTATATTTTTATCTATCATTCTTAATGACTGCATTATATCATATTAAGTTGAATATGGTTTGTGTCTGTCAAGGGTCCATTCTGATGGAAGGCTTGGTCTTTAGGGTGTAGCAAATGCCACCATAGAACTTTTGGGAGGGGCGGCTTTGTGGGAGGTCCTTGGGTCACTAAGTGTGTGAACTTGGAAGGTAGATCTCATGCAACTCCATGGTAGAGCTCATAAGAAAATTGATATAAATAGGTGATATGTGCTTCGGTGGCTGTGTCCATCATGAGATCGTCACTAGAACTGGTTCTACACCCTTCGATTTTCCAAACTGTGAGCTAAGTAAACCTCTTCTCTTCATAAATTTAGCTGCCTCTGGTATTTTATTTTGGTGATGCAGAGATAACCAATATAGTCCTACGAACAGTTTTTTACTCAAACTTTTAATTGTGAAAAGCTAAATGCATAAAGCTTTTGCTGTACTTAGGGTGGTAAAAGAAATACTGGGTCACAAGATAAGATTAAGATCTCCACAGTTTGCTAAATTATTCTGCAAAAAAATTTTACATTTTGTACTGTCAGTTGTGATTTCAATGCATCCTCTCCACTAAAGCTTATTGCTTGGAAAAGAAGTGGTAAGCAGAGTTCTCAGTAGAGTGCACTTAGGCTCAGTAGGTAAAGATACCACAAAGAATTGCTGCTCAACTGTGGGTACCTCCTCCCCACTTCTCCTTCCTGTTCCACACTTTCTGGGACCCTCTGGATAAAAGAAAAAAGAATAGGTGGTACATGTTAGGAATCCTCTAGGTTATTAATAATTCCTAGGATGACCACATTTTGAAAAATGTACTTAAGAGTAAATGAAGTAACATCTTACCTCTGTGATACTCTGGATTCACATTTTCATAGATTGGAAACAGGGGGTTTTCTTGTTCACTCCGTAGCTTCCTAGCTCTGAGTACATCTCTTACACACTGATGTAGGTATATGTACTGACACTGGGAAAGCAGAGAATACATCAAAGATGAGGAACTGCTACAAAATATAAACAGTGATGCAATTCTGTATACCTGGCAAATGTTTTGATCACTTTTCTCATGGTCTCTGGTATATAAAAAAATGAATGCTTTTCATTACCACTGAAAATAGGAGAATGTTAGTAGGCAGAGACGTATTTGTACATCTCTTTAACATGGTGCATATCTATTTTATATGTATTCTAAAGGCCTATAGCATGTCTGGCACACAGTAGATCCCTCACAAATATGTAGATGAAAGGATGCTAAGCACTCTGTTAGGTAGTTTATATGAAATCATTTCATAATCTCAATAACCTTTTGAAGTAGTTATAATTATCAACATAAACTGAGACTTAGAAGTTCATCAACTTTTTCAAGGTTGCATAGCTAAGAAAGGGAGCCCTAGGATTTGATCCAGAGGCTGTGACCTCCAAGTTCATGTTTTCAGTGCACCAATTTTCTTATGAGAAAATCATGGTTGTTTTGTTCCCCTTTTCTGGTGAATTGGTGAGAAAAATGAAGTATGTACCATAAGCCTCACTGTCATTTCTTTGACTACAAAGGCAGTGGTTAGCTCATGTCTGTTCTTGTAGCATCAAGTCTGGCCCATGAAGAATCTCAGAGATGTTGCCTAACTGCCAAGAAGTACAAAGGGTTACTCATTGAGGATACTGTCAGCTATTGGGGGAATTAACCATTTCAGAAACAAACACATAGAAAAATCAGTACTTTAGCGACTGTAAAGACAACTACAAAATGTTCACTGACAACAGCAGTCAAATTTGTACACTGAATCCCCTTCCTTCCTACCAAGTGAGCTCTTTAATAAGGGGATCAATGTCTCTGTAACCTTGGTGATTGGCCTTGGGCTCCCTTACTGATTCAGCAATTGCTCGGAAGCCAGGTAGCAAGGAGTTTGGGAGGGGAGCAAAAAAAAAAAAAAAGTAAGGGAGACTGGGCTCTCAGCCTCTGACTGGCCTGGTTAACTCATGAGGCCTCTTGGGACCTGAATTTTCCCATCTATAAAAAAGGAGCCTAAGATCTCTTCTACAGATAACATCCTTTGTTCACTAAAGGGTGTAAGTCTTGGTGTTGATGTCTAATAGATACTGAAAAATATTTCTGGACCCTCTGTTTAAGGCAATCAATGTAGCCAGCCTTACAGTATCTTGAAAGTTTGAGATAAAAGTGGGACTAAAATATGTTCTCTCTGTAACAGTATTTCAAAGTGGCTAAGTGCTTATTTGCATGAGTCACCCCTATACATTGGTTCCGATAGGAAGATAGTCTGGTTATTTATTCATGGGACTTTAAGAGGTAGATCTGGAATAATCAATAAATTAAGAAAATTTTTAAAAGTGAGGCTTGCACTAATATTAACTGTTCTTTACTTTTCTGCTCATAGACTGTATTTATTTATGAGTGTTTTATTGCCATCTTGATGTTGAATATTCAAAGAAAGTACTATTCTAAGTATGGTTGTTATTCCAGACTACCTCTCTCTTTGGCATCTTAAAATGATCCACCAAATTGTAGACTGATCCCTTGCTATTTCCTCAGACCTAAATTCCTTTCTACTGAGATATTAAATTATTTTGGAAAGTTAGAGGTAAGCCGTGAATTAATTCTATTTTATCTGAACAAACTATGTTATATAAGGCCTACTAATAAATTATTCATAGTGGGCTTTGAAACCAGTTAATATCTATTAATTTGCCTTGTCTTTAATATAAATTCATCTTTTCCTAATAGACTCTCCCTTAGAAAATGATTAATGTACTTCTCATTTTATTCATATAAAAAGTTGAAAAAAATTTCATAGATGAACCTCAAATCATGAAAGATCATTTGTTGTTGATGGACAAAGCTTTGGATTTGTTGTAACACATTCAGTTTCATTTAATTTCACTAATACTTGTAGTATTAAATAGTATTTATAGTATTAGATGTATTGCCTTTCATGGTCTCTGAGTGTACAGTTTAGCAGAAGGGCAGACATATGAACAAATACCTAGAAGATGATAAACATAAAATAGAATTATGTGTACAACTTTGTATAAAAGAGGAAAGCCTTAGGTTTACTTTTGGGAAAGTATCAAGATAGAAAGTAAAGGTGATAACTTAAAGAATGTCAACACGATAGGGTATTCCAAATTATATCAATAACATGCAAGTACACACATATTTTGGAGATGAGAAATACAGTGTAGCTAAATGTAGATTATATGGGTCATGAGAAAACGCCAGCATCATTTCCCAAATGGGACTTGAGACTCTTAATCTTACAACACTTTAGTGTTTCCTTCTCTTGAGAAGCAGATTTGAGTGACAGATTCTGATTGTCACCTATTGTTTCTTAAGATGTTGCTCTTTGAGTGTTTCCCTCAGAATCAGGCTGTAAATTTGCCCCAAGGCAAGGTAAAGGGAGGAACAAACTTGTAAATTATCTGTCTAATGCTTTTTGTTTAGAATTTCTTGTTCTTTGTTATGTTCATCAAAAATTGTGATAAATTGCATTCCTTGGAGAAAATTTAGGTCAATTTTCAATGTCACCATGGACCCAGAAAAATAATACAAGTGATGAGAATGTTTTTTTTCTCTTCTGTTGAAGCATTTACCCCACAGGGGCTTGGCTGTTGATTATCCACCTCTGTTCTCTTTTCCATTACCAAAAAGTCAGGCCAGAGATTGTGCAACTTCGGCATTCTCTTAGACCAGTATCAGATCTGATATTGACTGGGATTTTGTTTGACCAAGTAAAAAGGGGAAGAGATAATTTCTATTTTACTGCAATGTTTATTTCACCATGGTGAGAAGACTCAAAGTTCATTCAGGCCCCGGGAGGGAAAGATTCCTTAATTTTACCAGGTCCTAAAATACTGGCAATGAGTAGACATGAAGCTGGAGAAGCAAGTTGGGGCCAGGTTATGAAGAAGAAACTTGGATAAAGGATGAAAATTTGAACGTCATTTTACAAGCAATGTGAACTTCCTGGACTTTTACGCGGGGAGTTAACAGGAGCTGTGAGGGACCTCTCGTGACAGTAGTGATAAAGTAGGTCAGAAGCTGGAGGCGGAGCTCCCGCTGCCTCTATGTGCAGATACGTGGATAGCAGCACTACGGACAGGAACTGGAATGGACACAAGCTCAAGTGCTCTTCATGAAGGTTGTTTTTTTAAAAAAGATAATTAGTTTGGTGTTGAACATTTTGAATTTTATTTATTTACTTATTCCCCATTTTGAATTTTAGATCACTGAAAGGCTTCCAGGTGGAACTAACTGGCAGGCAGGTACTTAGGTAAATGCTAGTGAAGGGGGATTAGATTTAGGGACCAGAATTGTGTGCAACCCCTAGAGTGGAGGACATCAAAAAGAATAAAGATCGAAAGAAATAAGAGCCATACTGTGAGGGTACAACCTGGGGGAACTCAAATATTGAGAAGGCAAATTGAAGAACAAAGATATTCTTTGTGGGAGGAGGAGGAGAAAACATAGAAAAGAGGGTCTTATTTCTTTGAAGGAGGAGGAGCTTTGGTACACTGCTGTTACCTTTGCCCTGAAAGTTAGCCAGGGACATGTGTAATAGAGTTCTTGCTTTTGGTCAAAATGCAACTCTAGCATTCTGAACGTGGGTATGGAAGTGAAACGTGGTGCAAGAAGCCTTTGACAGTAACTACAGAGCCTAAACACACACACACACACACACACCCCCACACACATGCACGCGAGCACGCGCGCACACACAGGTGCACACATGCACATTCGTTCTCAGAAACAGGACACACATACACTCACGACTATTTGCAATGTTACAACCTCTTCCTTCCCAAATTACAAATAAACTATAGTCTGAGTTTGTGGAAGTGACAGTAAACAAACATCGATTCTGACTTTTTAGCCAGATAATTTTAGGTTCATTCATTTTATAAAAAGAAATACTGAAGATATAGAGAAGGAAAACAAAGTCCTACCCTCTAGGGACTCATAGTTGTGGTGATAGCTGAGGAAGAACAATCATGATACCGGGTGATACAATTCTCTTAATAAAATAATAGAACTAGACAGCAATCATGAATGACTGTTAATACACGAGGCTAAAGGTTATTGGGAAAACTGGCCATGGATGGTTCAGGCTGATGCCTGTGACTCCACTTTTAATTTGCCTGTACTCATAGAAAAGTGCAAAACTGATGATCAGCTTCCTCATGTGATGAAACAAGAAGTACCTGGTACCATCAGGGAAGAGCTGTGGTGGGAAAAATGAGTTTAATCACGCTTCTTGCTCTAATGACCAGACAATGGAAATCATGCAGAGCAGAGGAACATGCTACCACCAAGAAAAAGCAATCATCCACATCCAGAAAGTGGGAATGTGTATTAAACAAGGGGGGTGGTTTCTTTGACAAATAAATGGCATGGAAAACAAATGGGAGAGGGGATTATTATAGACTAAAAGAGATTTAAAATATACTTCAGTCAAATGAAATGTGGACTTTGAAGTCAACAGAAATCAGCTATAATTTTTTACAACAGTAACTAAAAAACATAATTAGAAGGGCTGTGGATGTAGTTCAGTAGATCATTTGTCTAGCATACATAAGGCCCTGAGATTGATCCTCAGCAACTCGAAATAAGAAAATAAATAAACAAACAAATAAGACATTTAGCTATAATTGAGGCCATATTCTTAAGTGAAATAAATAGGACACCCATGTGTAAATAGCAAATAGTTGCTCTGGTATGAAAAACTAAAAATGTAAATAAGGATCAAAATGTATAATTGATAATGTGAAATGGGAAGAAAAGGCCTAAAGGAGTAGGGGAAGTAGGAGGGGTAGAGGAAAGGAAAGAAGGAAAAAGAAAAAAAAATGAGATGAGGAAAAAATGGAAACAAAGTCTTTGTAAATAGGGGAGAGTGGAGGGGGTAAAGGGAAGGCAGGGGAATGGGGAAAACATAAGAACCAAGATACATCATGCAAAGGTACAAGATCCCGAGGATGAATGTAACTGTACTGTATACCTAAAATGTACCAAAAGACTTAATGGAAAAAAAAGACATTAGGGATATTTAAATATTGCCTGGGGATTAGATGATATTTGGAGATAATAGTTAAAATTGTTAGGTGTGGTAAATGGCACATTGATCACTATTTTTAAAAATCTCTAGTACCTTTACATGATATTATCTTGGTTCTTATTTTTTTCCCCATACCCTTGCCCTCCCTTCACCCCCTCCACCCTTCCCTATTTACAAAACTTTTTTTCCATTTTTCCTTTTCTCATATTTTGCTTTTCCCTTCTTTCCTTTCCCCTACCATTCCCACTTCCCCTACTCCTTTAGCCCCTTTCTTCCTATTTCACTCTATCAATTATACAATTTGAACCTTATTTACACTTTTAGTTTTTCACATCAGAGAAACTATTTGGTATTTACACGTGTGTCCTATTTATTTCACTTAGGGGTACGGCTGCAATATGCATCCATTTAGCTATAAATGTCACACAGAGACCTATTTAAGAATGAATGAAATAATATGATAAATAGGATTTGCTTTAAAATATTCCAATGGGGTCATGGCAGTAGGGGAAATAGTACATGTAGGATTCAGAAGAGCAAAGAATACAGGATACTGATAACTGTAGAAGCTGGGGCTTGGGTATAACAAAACTCATTATCCTATTTCTCTAGTTGTTATATGAACATGCTGTGTGTGTGTGTGTGTGTGTGTGTGTGTGTGTGTGTGTCTCTGGATCCAACCCACAGCCTTATGCATGCTAGGCTAGCATTGAATCCCATTTTTATGTACTATTTTATGTTTCAGCAATTTTACAGTAAAATGTTTGAAATATGGTAGATAAATTGTTATAATGAAAGTACCCTCAATCCAGGACAATGGCAGTAGCAGAGATCAGGACAGTGGGTCCCACCTGCAGGAGGCAATGACTTGTGTTTTGCCAAAAGTGCTGTAGAATGACAGTACTGCAAGTTATGAATGTGTGCTACACAAGAAAAGAATTCAGGCATCAGAATGGTTTTCAGAACTGTGTGCTCATCCAAGTTCCATGGGGGCCTGTACTGGAGGATGTCCACGAGTGAGCATGGCATTAGGCTGACTGTGCTGTGCTCTGACTCTCTGGTGGGACATGGAAAAATAGAGAACGTTTCACCTTTTCATATTTTTAAAAAATATTAGGCATTTATAGAATTATTTGGGTGAAAATTTGGGAAAACCAGGGTAAGAGAATCTGAGTTATACAAAAGACATGTCTGGTGTATGTGGGGCGCAGAGCTGACTAAGGCTGTCAGAGCAGTAAACTTGGTACTCAAGGGTCTGGTAACTTCTAGAACAGAGTCGAAGCCAGCTTGGCCATTTCATAACTATGGGCTTTGTGCAAAGCCCTTTAGTCCCTGGACCTCATTTACCTGGAAGTGGAATATAGTGCCTCTCTTACTTGGTTATTATGAAAATGTAATAGGATAACATGTTTTAAAATGACCCATGAGCTAGGTGTGGAGGAGTATGCCTGTAATCCTAGCACTCTGGAAGTCTGATGCAGGAGGATGGAAAGTTCAAGCCCAGACTTGACAGCTTAGTAGTTTAGTGGGACCCTGTCTCAAAATAAAAAATAAAAAATAGGCTGGGGATGTAGTTCAGTGCAAAGGCTCTGGGTTCAATCCCTGGTACCACAAAACCAAACAAAAACCTGTGAGTGTCAAAGGGCTATAGAAGCAAATGGAAGTATGAAGCTTTACAATGGACAGTCTTTTGGTGTCTCCAGAGTTGAAGATGCAGGTACAGAAGTTAAGGCAGAGGGAGTGTATAGCTTAGGATATTCCTCCTATAAGTGAAGTTCTTGTATTCATTCACCAGCTTATTTTAAACCAGACTGCAAGATAGATTGACATATCCTTTCTACCATGAATAGTGCATAGATTTAAAAGAATGTACCTTTCTTCTTACCCACCTAAATTCTCTTCTGAGCCAAGCAACTAGTTAAGTAAAAGTAAGGATAGGCATCATCCTGAAAGTCATTGTAATTTATGTCATAATAAGTCATAGAAAATGTCTATATGCGTAGTTCTCTTTTTCTTGTCCTATTGTGCCATAGTTATTTCTCTATATTTGATGAAAGCATATATATGTGAAAACACATATATGAAACATATATATATGTGAAAACATATATATTATGTATAAATATATTTTTGTAGGGGGAAGGGAAAGTGGTCTGTGTCCCTCAGCCTCTGGCTCTTACCTCAGTCTGGACCATGTGAACCCTATGAAGTCTTAGGTCATGCACTGCTCCATAAATGTCCACAGAGTCTTTGGAATCTAATTGCTGGAGAATTCGGTCCAATGCAATAAAGGTTCCAGTCCTACCCACACCAGCACTAGAAGAGATAGTAAAAGAACATTTCATTAAAATTGCTTCTCAGAATTGTATCCAGAGATTCTGGCCCAATCTTTCCTTTTCTCTTTCAATTTATGGAAGAATGTAGGACAGCTTCTTTTTCTCAATGAGCTCTGTCTCTTACAGAAATGTTACCTAGAGACCCAGTATTCCACCTCTTTCCCCTTCTTTCCTCCCTCTCCCTCTATCAGCGGTAAGTGCTGTTCTGCACTTGATGGCTATCATTTCAATATAGGTTTTTATACTTTTCCTACAAACATATAGATCCATCAACAACATATTCATTTTATGCATTTAAAAAATTTATTGAAATGCCAACTTGTTTAATGTATTCCTTTGCCAATTTTTGATTCAATATTGTGTTTTGAGATTTATGCACATTTTACATGTAGATCTAATTTCTTTTAATTCATAGACCATTGCTGACATATTCCCTACTGATAGCCAATGAAGCAATTTTAGTTTTTCTCTATTACAAAAGTGTCACCCGACACTTTTGAGTATCATTGTGAACATATGTGGTGATGTGTTGACGCCTAGAAGCAGAACGGCTGGGTTGATTTGAGAGTATAAATAGTTTCAATTTTGCTAGGGATTGTCAAGTTGTGGTTGTATAATCTGGGAGTTAATTTTAGTACCTGGGTGTTGAATCCAGGGTATTTTGGCTACCTCCTCAGACTGTTTTTTAATGTTGAGATCAGGTCTCACTAAGTCATTAACTTGCCCTCACTGGCCTTGAGTTTTCAGTCCTCCTGCTTCAGCTTCCTAGAGTGCTGGGGTACAGACATGAGGCACAACACCTGGCTACTCTGGGGATTTTGGATGCTGTGCGAGGTGCTGTCACCAAGATGAAATCAACCTTATCAGACCGAGGCAAAATTAGAGCAGCGAAGTTATGAAGGGGGAGAACTCATGTTTGCCTGTCTGTGACAAATACTTTCCTGAGGTCTTTCTAAAGGCCTGAGAAAGTAGCTTCTTATTCTATGTGTACCTGATAATTTGCACACCCTACACATATGTGTAGGTTTCTGTGACAACAGTTTTAAAAAACTGCAGCTCTTCAGATAAGATGTTCTTGACAGAATACTTGCTCAGCAAACGCATCTCTAGCAACATGCTGACATCAGCTCCCACCTCCAGTCTTGAAGACAAATGAGTTTTGTGTCCAAGTAGCATGTGTAAATCTCCTTTTTGCCTTAAAAACTTGCCCTTGCTTAAAGTTCTTTAAGTACACCTACCCTTTACTATAGTACATATATTGTCATTTCAATGTTCTTCTCTTCCCAAATGAACACTATTCTTGGGAGAATCTCTGGTTGTTATTTAGGTTGACAATGCATACATTCATAAGGTAAAAAGAACAATTGTGTAGTGTTCTTGGGCAAAAAATGTCTGCCATTTTTCCATGAGAAAGTAGGAAGCTCTTGAGTACCTCACATTCTCATTAAAAGCATTGGGGTTCCAATGAAATATAAAAGCAAGGCTCATAGGGTGTTGGGTTGATTGGGAGTAGATTAGCACACTTGACATTTCTCTTACTGTAGGAATTCACTGCTCTTTATTTATTAGTGCCATCCAGTTAGGACTGTCAAAGTGCTGTTGCAAACATTAATTAGTTAAGCACCAGTCTCCCCGGAGAGAGAATGATGGCTTGTTAGGTGGATTTTATGAATATACTGTCTGAAGCAAGAACTCAAGAGAGAACAGAAATTTAAGAGCAAAATTGGTGCTCTTAGGCAAGTGCTATGCTATTGTTTGACTTTGTGTCCTCTATAATTAATGCTTAAATTTAATGCTTAGTGCAAGAGTGTTAAGAGATAAGATTTATTTTTTTATTTTTTAGACAGGGTCTCACTGTGTAGTTCAGACTTCTCTGGAACTCACTGTGTAGCCCAGGCTGGTCTCAAACTCACAGCGATCCCTCTTGCCTCGGCCTCCCAAGTGCTGGGATTACAGGCATGTGCCACCACACCCGAGATAAGATCTTTAGGAAGTAATTAGGCCATGAGGTCTCCACATTATGTATGAGATTATTGTCTTTTAAAAGGGCTGGAGGAAACTAGCTATGTCCTTTCGTCCTCTGTTCCTTCAGCACTGTAAAGACAGCCTCCCTTCCAAGGTACCATCTTTGAAGCAGAGATTGTACCCTCACAAGGCACCGAACCTGTCATTGCCTTAACCTTGGACTTCCCAGTCTCCTGAACTTTGAGAAATAAATTTCTATTTGTAGGCTATTCTGTAGTTCTTTGTTACAGCAGCAGCAATGGGCAAAGGTATGTGACTAGACATGAGAGTAGTCTAAAGCAACTTTGTTAAAGGATGCAAGGGGCTTATACAGGTGGATGACAGAAATAAGCCACCCCAGGGAATAAGAATGGCACAAGGCAAAACTGAGCTGGTGAGGCCACGGTCCTGGAGAGGATGGGAAAGGAGTGGTAGGGAACTTGGATGGAGTTAGTCCAACTCTCAAGGGCATGGAAGTCACTTACAGACTTCGTATTCCGTACAGTGGGGGAAAGAATAAGAGGGAGAGAGGAGGATGGAGAGTAAGGGTGAGGGAGAGGTGGGAGAAGAAGAAAGTGGAAGAGAAGTTTACTGAAGAGGCGTGAAGTTGGAGAGCAGAAAAGAGAGAATGTAATAGAATGCTCTGGGAGTTAGGCAGCTGGTGAGCCCAGACCGATCTTCCACCCACCACTGTCCCCATATTTATGCTCTTTTTTTCCAGATTCCATGACACAGTGCTCTCATGGAGGCCATTTTTCTGTCTCCTTGGTTGTCACATACATACCTGCAGTGCACCACGGTGGGCCCGGCACCAGGGGTCCTATTGATGTAGTCCCTGACAGTTCTCACGAACTGGATTAGGGACTGCGTGGTCTCAGGGACTCCATGGTCTGGCCACACTGTATAGTGAAAGTGACGGATGAGTCTCTGTACATCGAGCTGTTCTTCCTGCAAGAGAGAGAGCAGGATAATAAAAAGAAAACTAAAAATTGACAACAGTGTCATGCAGCAATTTCTGTGGTCTGAAACTATAGGAGAGCAATCAGCAAAAATAGGATTCACATCTTCCCAGATTGGGTTATTAAAAGAAGCCAAGCAAACTAACATACACTGCATATCTTAAACTCCCTGATGGTCCACTCAGGCAGCACAGACTCTGAGAGCATCTGCAGAATGAGGTCCCCATAGTACAGGGAGTCTTGATCCGCTGGCCAGTAATGGTCACACTTCACCTACAGGAGGACAGACAGAAAAAAATGGTCAGCCCAGGATCATGATTCCTGTGAAAACCTGGATTTTCACTTTGAAACCTTCCCTGAGTTAGGAATCTGGGATCAGCTGCTAAAACAATTTAGCATCTATTTTTTATTAACTGGCTCATGACCAGTGTTAAAGCTGGGCTAATGCTCCAAGAAATGGGGCTACCTACAAAGAACAAACCCTGAGCTCCCAAACTGCATTCATTCACATTTCAGACAGTATTACATGGCTAGATTTTGTTTGTTTGTTTGTTTGGAACCGGGGATCAAACTCGGATCCTTGCGCTTGCAAGGCAGGCAGCAGAACCACTGGGCCAAATACCTGGCCCATGGCTTGATTTTTTAAAAATCGATTTTCTCAGCATTCCTTTCCGCTAGCAGATAAACCATGACTTTATTGTTTTTTTCTGAAGAAAGATTCAGTCAAGCAGAGGAAGGCATTGTCTTCCTGGCTTTGTTTTGTTCATATTTTTTATTGTTTTCCTAACATGGGCCATGTGCCAAGAAATCTTTGAGATGTTATAATGGATAGCTTGTATTCACAAACTTGTATTCACATGTATAGAGAAAGGAGAAAGAGGATTATGTACACTTGTTTACCTATTTTATATTTTGTTTGGTGGTATTTACACATTGATTTAAAAACCACATATTTTATAAAGTATGCATATTAATTGATCAAGAATATATATTTGCTTGTATTTTTGTATAAGTATGTGTGTGTATCAAATAGTATAAACATGGCTTTTATTCTACTAACTGGTGAGGCACCGCAAGTAGGCCCATCGGAATGTATATATGTATAGAAATATTTGTTTTTGTGGTACTGAAGATTGAACCAAAGGCCTTCACACTGAGCTATATCTCTAACGCATTTGAATTTTGAGGCAGGGTCTTGTGGAGTTACTAAATTTCTCAGGCTGGGCTCAAACTTACAGTCTTTCTACCTCAACTTCCCAGAGTGCGTGGATTACAAATGTGCACCACCACACCCAGCCACTATCTACATTTCATGCATAAACATCTGCATGTGGTTATATACATATTTCTAGTTGTTTCATCTCTCTGTACCTATTTACATATATGTATAAATATAAGGCTAGTTTTGCTGAAGAGGCCATAAGGGGTCAGTGTAGCATAAATAACCTTAGAGAATCCCAATATATTTTTTTAATTAGTTCATTACATGTGATCTCCCTTTTAATCCTATAAAACCATATAAAGTAGCAGATTATAAATGTATTACAAGAGGCTTGCTTAATTTGTCCAGACGACTATTTTACTTGCACCTAACAAGAGAGCCTAAAACTCACATCCCTGATTCCGGCAGGGTCTCCCTGCCCACTAGGCCATACACCAAAGGAGGGGGCAGATGAGTGGGCAGATTCTCTTTCTGTGTAACCGGCCCTTACGATAATCTCAATCATCATGTGGTAACATTTTTTACTGAAACTTCAGACCCAGAATCAGCCACCTTTTACAACTGAGGGGCTTCAACATTCTCACATTGCCTCTACTTGGATTTGTGGGATACAAGCTCAGATTGGGGTGGGTTAGAATTTCTTCCATGATGTGGAAAGCAAAGCTTGGGAGTCAGAAGACTATGTACTCACTCGACCCTTCTCAACACACTGGGTCACCATGACAATATTGAGGACATTCTGTTCCCATGCCATTTTCCAGAAGTCATCCTTGGTGCCAGGAAGCGGTCCCTGAGTGGCGATATATTCTCTTCTGAAGTTGTTGCCCTGCGATGAATTTACAACAGGGAGAGTCAGAAACAATGGCCTCTTCAGAACTGTAAACAAAGAGTTAGCTCTGCAGATTAGATGATAGGGAGGTCTCTGCCAGGGCCCTGGCTTGAGAAAATGAAATTAACAGAAGTGTTAAGGCTTGGGAGGAGGAAGGACAAAGGCCAGAGCACTGAACTATTCTTAAGAGGCACATTTCCCTTTCAGACTGGAAAAGGCAAATGGAGGACTCAAGTAATAATCTAGAAAACACTTCACCCTTAATTATAATTGTGTGTGTGTGTGTGTGTGTGTGTGTGTGTGTGTGTGTGTAGCCTGTCTGAGGGACTGAGTTATATTCAGTTTGGAGGGATGACTTTAGTCCTGTCGGATAACTGACATTAGAATAATTTGGTAAGAGATATCATGTAAGGAAGCTTAATAGAAGAGAAACCTCTCTTTGTTAACCTTTCGTCACATAATGTGCAGCAGGTCAAGATTTCCAAGGATCCTACTTAATCCTGTTTATCTCTTACTTAATCCTATCCACCATCCTATGAGCTGGGATCTTTTTATTTACTCATTTGGTACTCTAGCAATACACAATTACTTGTAAATTCTAGTTGAAGATCTTTATCTCCTTGTTTCTCAGAGTCTCTTCATTATATTACCTCTGCCACACAACACTGCCCACCCAAACAATGCCTCCCATCTGGCCGATCTTCATTTATTCTGAACACATGGCTTGCTTTACCTTCCTGCTGGGTAGTAATCTCCCAAATGTCCTCTGGCAACCTCTAATCTCTTGCTGTCTGAGTGTGGTTCTCAGGGCAACAGCAATAGAATCACCTGAGGACTTGTTAGAGAAGCAGGGTAACAGGCACCACCACAGGCTTCTAGCATCAGAATCTGCCTTATAATGAGAGCCCCAGATGATACTGGAGTATGTTGGAGAAACACACCAGCAGGTTTCTCAGGGCTCTGCCTTGTAATTTCCTGAGGCCTTGACTGTTCTAAATATGTTATGGTCAGGATCATGTTTACTCTCTGCCTGCATATAGCTCAGTGTTTGACTTACAATTAGTGTTTAACTGATAGGTGTTTATTGAGTGAATTGAAGATTTTTGAGGTAAATATTATTTTAAGTCTTTGGGAAAGGAAATGGAGGCTCAAAGTAGTAAAATAATTTTCCCAAGGTCACAGAACTGACACAGGAAGTAGGATATGGCAAAGCTGGCTGGGGAAATAAATGGGACCTGTCAGTTATAATATCCTAGGACAGCAACCAGTAATTCCAAGGACGCTGTATGTGAAACATCTTTCAGGCTCCCAAGAAATGCGGATGGCATAAAAGAGACAAGATGCCACAAGGAGCCTGCTATTGTGACTCTTCACGGTAGTCCACTCTTTGTTAGGAAGCAACATAACTTTTGCTTTTATTCCTTCTTCTCTGTTAGGGCCAAGTTGACTCTGCAGAGCTAGTTTTTCTCGTATGCCTTTACCCCTCAATTTTCAAATAAACTTTTGGTACCATTGTTGACTTGTCTCATTCAATTCTTTGTTAGAGGCAAGAAGGACCTGGAATAAGTTTAACTGGTGAGTTATTTCTAAAAGAACTACCTGATCACAGAACCAGCAAGGGACACAAGTGGGATTTCAATTTGCTTGATTCTTAAAATGTCTTCCACTGCAATGAGCTATAGGCTGTTGCAAGATGCTACAGAATCAAAGACCAGAGATTTGACACAGGGTTCAAGGTGTGACTGTGGCTTTCAAAAATCCACATGAGATTGATTTCCTTACCTAGGCAGTCTTTGCAGGAGAGGCCAATCTCCCCTAGGGAGCTCTAATCTCACTTAAGGGCCACAAAGAGAAAACCACCTTTGACATGCATCCTGGCCTTATGACAATTGTAAGTTACTATGGATACTGTAAAAAAAAAAGGGCCTTAAAGTAATTAGAGAACATCCCTGTCTCATGGCAATCAGATGTGAAAATCTACAAAAATCTACAAATATCTCCAGAGCTGAGAATAGTAGGAACATAAAGGAGTAGCATCATCTCCAGAACAGGCACCTGTCTCAGCTTCATCCTAAGCCTACAGATTCACTTACTGGGATGTAGCTTGCATTGATGTAGTCAGAGCAAGGGTCGTCATCCACATTGGACAGCTTCACTCGTGAGGCATCATCTGGAAGAAAGTTAATTGAGAGATTTGTTGCTATGCCTTGGGGTAGTTTTTCCTTGTTTGTGTAAAGTGAAGATTTGATGTGTCTCATCTCTGATCCCAACAGCAGCCACAGGGAGGATCCTAATCTCTGCTGTACAAAGCAGGCCCAAGCAGGATGACTAACTTGCCCCAGGGTGCATACGGTGTGACCTCCACGTGTACTTCCTTGGCACCTTCATGACCCTTGCCCAATGAAGTGGCCAGTTCGCTTTAACTGCAGGAATGAATACCATCCAGAAAAATGACCTTCTAGTGCTTTACCTAATGGTGTAAGGATAATTTTTTTTGTAAGTCACTAAGCTAGAGATTTCATTAAGCAAACCCTGGTCAGCTTAATGTTATAGTCCTGCTGTTAACCCACTTAAAAGCTCTCAGAGTGTAAGCAGGCTCTCTAGATGAATGCTCATAGTCAGAATTTAAGCTGGTCATTATGCTTCCAAAGAGCAGTGCAGTAATGAAGAAGTCATTCCTTATTAAAATCATCCAGAGCCCGAGAGCTTTCATATCCAGCTACACCATATCTCTTTAAACCCCTTCTTTTCCTGGGACAGAGCAGAAATGGCTAGAGGAAGATAGTGTTTTACAAATTGCACCACAAAACTTACATGGCAATATATTGTTGTATCGATTTTTTCCTCTATTCTCGGGCAGGAGTGCAATATCACAAGGCTGGTTTCGACCCACGTCTTTTAAGTCCTGTTATGTCAAAAGAAAGTTTGCAAGTGAAAAATATAAAATAGCATAAGGTAAATTATATAGTCCTCGAGTATACAATAATATAAAAATACACCAGTTACTACTTATGGAATGACGCCTCGGGTTCCACACGCATTAACTCAGATCCACAGCCCCACATGGGAGGTGCTCTTATCATCATCTTACAGTTGAGACTTAGCCAGGACCACGAATGGCTCCAGGTCACACAAGGGAATAAAACACAAAGTCTGGGCCCTTTTGGCCAAACTACATTGTTTCCCAGCCAAGCATGTGGCCAGGCTGAATAACTGTCAGTCTTAGTTGTGCCTTTGAGATTGATGAACTCTTCCTTGGCATTTGATCGATGCAGTTTGCTGTACTATTTGGGAGCTCAATCTGTCCCTGAGATTAGGTGTAGATTACATTAGGTGTAAATTATATGTGCTGTGCAGGGAATGGTTTCAGGCATCAATATCACTCAACTGAAATGCTAAGCATCATTTTAACTTCAGAGATGAATCAGCCTAGGATTCCACAGTAAAGGTTAGGAGGGAAACTCTGCTGAGGACCAGGGGGTGTTCACACTTCACTGTGCTTGAGTTGTACCTCATATTCCTTGGATAGCAGGTAATTGGAGTCAGCCTGAAGCTTCATGAAATGCCCTTCAAACTGATTTACTTTTATGGGGCTGTAATTAAAAAGAAAAAGAAAAGAAAGTTACTGAAGAAAAGGCAAAATGCCATAACCAGTATGAGTTATATTTCAAAAGTAGGTAATATAGTAATTAATGAGTTCTTCCTTACCAAGAGTTTTTCCGGCTACTATGAAGAAACCAAATAAAGAAAAAAGACTATGTCAGCAAACCTCACATTATACCACCTTTCAATTAATTCGATGGAAGGAAATATGGCACTTACCCTTTTTGGCCCAGATTCAAGTGGACAGACAGTGGTCGATCCCTGCGAATGCTCAGGCGTGCAGAGGGCCTTTCTCTACTGTGGCTGAAACATAAGGCAGAAGATTTATTTTTCCATTTTGGTATTGAGGACTGAACTCAGAGCCTTGCACATGCTAGGTAAATGCTCTACCACTGAGTTACATCCCCAGCCCACGGTAGAGCATTTTTATTCCAATTATGACACTTATTTCAACAAATTTCCCACTTATGGTATGGCTGTGAATGTTTGTGCAAATCTGGATTTTTCAAGATTTATGAAGATTTGCACTCTGCCAACATTTCCTTGAGGGTAGAAGAGGGAAAGAACATAAAAAAGTTGATCTTTCCCACTTAGACACAGATCTCTATAATAACTATAGATCTGTCTTCTGCTTTTTGGCTTTAGGTCATAATCACTTCCCACACTCTCAACAAAATTGTCCTTACAAGAAAACCCAAACCTATAAATCTCAGATGCCAGACATGACTAAAAGAGAAAGTATAATGTGCCAAATAAAAAATTCACTAAGAGAAGAGAGCATGGCAATGGGGCGCTTGCTCTTTGGTTCTTTTGAGTTCCTTCTTAAATTAGGATGGCAAATATAAGCCACAAAATAGTGATGTCAACTCTATTTTTCAGGATATGTCAGCAAAGACCTGAGGTACACAATTTACAAATATCTCCACCCATATAAGGATGTGAACCAACATTTTTTTCTATGCAAAAGGAGTTATTTGGTATTTAAACAAAGCTACTGATGGGCTCATAGTCATTGGTTAATATTCATCAATGGTATATAACAGAGCCAGAAAGCAAATATGTTATGATTTTAGAGTGTGACTCTTTAACTGCAAAAACAATGGTTATTTAAGTTGGAGAAGTTGAATTTATTTGCCTTTTTTACTTTCCAGGGTAAAGGGCATTTTTACTTGCATACCTAAAGTCATTGGCTTGATCACCAAACAGATCATTGTACTTACCTCACTTTCTGCCTGCAGATGAAAAAGGCAACAAGTGCTACCAGCATGCCAATTAGAAAGAGGCCAGCACTAACACCTTCGATAACACCGAACAAGGGCTCTACAAGAATCCAGATGAAAACAACAAACCCAGGTAGGAAAGTTAGTGGCAGAGAACCAGTAAAAAGCTTTTGAAGTTGTATCTACTAAGCACTGTTATCATGAGTACAATTCAAGTGATGCCCACCCTGGCTGTCTGGTAGACATGAATATGCAACAAAGGAGATGAATTTCTGGTACCACCCTGTTAAAGCAGGCTGTTTACACAGTAAAAAATGCATTAATGTTTTAAATTAATCCTGTATGGCTAGTAAAGGAAGTTTGGACTTTGTGGCATGTAAAGCTTGGGGCACCCATGATAGAAACCATAAATTTGCCACCAAAATAAAAACGCTCTTTCATTTATATGAAATAAGTTACATAGCATCTGGTGCTTTAGCAAATCCAGTGAATTGCTGAGTGTAATATTAACAAAATTTCATTTTTATTACGTGGTATCACACTGACATTGGGAGTTTATGAAAAAGTGACAGTAACAGTAGCCACAGTAGCTATTTTTTTTTTTTTTTTTTTTTTTTTTTTTTTTTTTAGATTGTCTCATTATGTTGCCCAGGCTAGTCTTGAACGCTGACATTCAAAAAATACTCCTGCCTCAGCCTCCTTAATAGCTGGGACTATGGAAGTATACTGCCAACCCGGCTTGCCTATTTTACAAAGTAGTTTTATTGAAATATCATTCTTCACCAGCACTGCATGATGAATGTAATCACTATGGGCTGCAAACATGAACTAATAAAAATGAAAAATAAAGAAATACAATTCACATATCATTCAGTTCACCCATTTAAATAGTACAATAGTCGTTTTAGTTTAGTCACAGAGTTTTGCAAACATAACTACAGTAAATTTTATAACATTTCATCATCTGCGAAAGAAAAATGTGTATCTGTCAGCAGTGACTCTGCATTCCTCCTTCTCCCTTGCCAACTCCTGGCAACCGGTAATCTATTTTCTATGTCTATAGATTTGCTTATGCTAGATGTTTCATATAAATTGAATCATAAATATGTGGCTCTTTGGATTGGCTTCTTTTACTTAGCATAATGTGTTCTGAGTTCATCCAGAGACCATATATCAGTATTCTATCCCTTTTAATGGCTGAATTATATTTCACTGTATGATATATCACTTTGTTTACCTATCCTTCCATGATAGATATTTGAGGTGTTTCCCTTTTGTTTCTAATGAATGATGCTGATAGAGACATGGAGTATGAATTAGTGCATGGATATATTTCCATTTCCCTTAAATATACACTTAGAAGTGGAGTTGCTGGATCATATGATAACTCTATCTTTAATGTTTTGAGTAAACGCAAAACAATACTGGAAAGGAGTTGTACCATTTTCATAATGTATGAGGGTTCAAGTTTCTCCATATCCTCACTAACACTTATTATTTTATTTTTTATTGTAGCCATTCCCATGATTCTGAAGTGATATGTTATTGTGGCTTTGATTTGCATTTTCTTAATGATTAATGGCATTGAACATTTTTTCATATGCTTCTTGGTCATTTGACCCTCTGCAGAGAAATATCTATTTAGATCCTTTGCACAATTTTAATATATCTTTTTATTATTGAATTGTAAGATAAAAATCATTTTTATATTCTGGGTACACAACATTTACCAAATACTATGTAAAATTTGCAAATATTTTCTTCCATTCTGTGGGCTGTCTTTTCATTTCTTGATGATCTCCTTTGGAAGTACAACAGCTTTTAATTTTGATTGACTCTAATTTTTTGTTGTTGTTATTGCTTGCCCTTTAGTGTAATACCAAAGAACCTCAAGCTATTTTGAAATATTGACACAATTATCAGGTGTATAGGTTCAAGAACCTGAGTAGCTATGTGCTTGTGTGTGACTATTGTTAAGACATAATATTTAAACCACTAGTTTGGTTATACAACAGGTATTTTTTAAGGGTGTATGATATTCAATAGTGTATTGTCTACAAGAGATACCATGAACTCTGGTAAATATTGTTGTATTCCTTTGTTTATTAATGCAACAGAAAATAATCATGCATTTTGGTATATAAATAAAAAAGAAACCATTTCATAACCTCAGGTTCTGAAGATTTACTTCTATGTTTTCTTTCAAAAGTGTTACTGTTTTACCTCTCACGTTAACTCTCTGAAGGAGCCCATTTTTGAAGCTTTTTGTTTTAAGAGCTTGGATTTATTTATTGCATGTTTCTTTTCCATACTAAAAAAAAATCAGCAAAGTCATTTTTGTTTTAATGTGTTTAGTATTCTCTTTGAATGTTTCTTTAGGGTACCCCTTTACTGGACTAAATACAATTTTTGTTGTATACCAGTATTTCAGATATAAAATAATTGTGTTTACGGAGTCCCTGCTCAACATTAAGTTATAGGCAAATACATGTAAATCCTCTTAACTGGGCACTGATCCTTCTTTGGCCTGAGAAGTGGGAGATTAGCCCTCTATTTCTCATAAGTAGATAGGGATCTTTATGAGAGACTGAGCCATGTGTTGTCACGCAGCAGGAGAAACTGTTTAGCTCTAAAGAACTCCAGACCTCAGCAAAGCACAGTGGCTGCAGGAAAGCTGCAACAGGCAGTGGTGTCAAGGAGTAAGGTGATGAAAGTGGTGCTATTCTTGTCATGATGGACATATCCAAGCAGTGCAGTGCAGGCAGAGGCTATGTGCCAAGGCAGAAAGTGGCTATACAGTCTCGGCAAGTTATTTGACCTCTTGGTGCCCTGGGTCCTCATTTTTAAAAATGGGAATGATAATAGCATCTACCTCAAAAGGTTACAGTGATGAATTGACAATTTATTGTATGTGCAATGCTTACAACTGTAGCTCCAGAGAGGTGACCAGCAAGTATTAGCTACTATTATCACTAGGACTTTCCCTCTAACACACTAGAGAAATTTCTTTCATAAATATATGTAAAGCTCTTTAAAGTAACATTTAATTTTAAAAATATTATTATTGATTTGTTTACTGGGATTGAGCCCAGACCCTGATGTATGCCAAGTAAGTGCTGTACCACTGAGCTACACTCATAGCCCTTTAAGCTTGCATATTTAAATAGTGGGAAAGCAAACACCCAATAAACAAAAGAAGGAAAACTGCCTATAACCCCAGTACTTTGAGATATTCAGCATTAGTACCATGGGTTTTTTTGGCAGTCTCTTTTGCTGTGTACAGTCATCCCTTCATATCTGAGGGGCATTAGAGCAAGGATGCCCCCACCCCCAAATCCATGGATGCTCAAATCCCTTGTATAAAATACATAATATTTGCATATAACCTATGCAGATCTTCTCATATGCTTTAAGACATTTCTAGGTTACATATGATACTTAAAACACATAAATCCTATGTCAATAGCTGTTGTGCTATTTAGAGAATGACGCCATGAAAAGCTCTACATATTTAGTACAGACACATTTTTTTTTCTCTTTACTGTTTTTGGTACACAGTACTGAACCTGTAGAAACAGGCGGCCAACTGTATATGTATATATACATTCCAACTTCTAACTGAAAGCTTTTGCATCATTTTGACTGTGTGAGCACTTGGTTTTAATGTCTTTCACTCTATTTTATTTTTAAATTTCAGTTTTTGCTTTTGTTTCTGTCATTTTATTTAAGGTGCTGAAGACTGAGCAAAAATTAATTTTTAATAGAAAAATTTGTACATCTTATTTTCTAGATTAATTGCCTTTCGGTCCATTCTCCTGCAAAAACAGTGCAATCTCTCTAATCCACATCACGCCACAATCACATAAAGATTAAGTTCCAAATGAAAATAAATGTTTTCCCTATCACTGGCCAAGTCACCGGATCTCCCTCTAGAGGTTCTTTCACGAGGGGTGTGGGTAGATAGAAGGGTTAGCCTTACCTGACTCCGTGGTGATAGGCAAAGAGAAAAATGTGTCTGAATAGAGGGGCTTTGTGAACTCTTTCAGGTCCTCATCAAATAACTGAGTAAATGCCCGAATGCTGATTCTGAAAGGAAAACACATTTATGTAAGTGCAAACTAGTGACTGAGCACAGTAAAAATGGGTACAAGGACAAGTGGTAGTTTTGTTTCCAGGGTGGGACATAAATTATGCAATCAGATAGGTCTAGGCCCATGCATTCTTTCATTGATTTATTCATCATATATTTATTGAACTTCTGCTGTGTGCCAGTCCTAATTTTGGGAGCTGGAGATACTGCAAGGGACAAAATAAAGTCCCTCCCATTCCAAAGGTCACATTCCCATGGAAGAAGTTAGACAAACCCCCCACAAATATATGTCAGATGGTGATGTCCTTTTTTATGAAAAAGAAAAGAGCAGCATAAGGAAACTAGAAAGCAATGGAGACCAACTATGTGAAGCTGCTTTATTCATCGTGGTCAGTGAAGTTCTCTTTGATAAAGAGACATATGAGGAAAGAGAGGGGAGAACTGGGCTCACATTCCAGGTAGAGGGAACTTCGGATGCAAGACTCTGATGAAAGCTGCAGCTACATAGGGGAAGGATTGCAAGCAGACAGGAGAGTTGCTGAAGTACCTGTCCATCTGTCCCTGTCAGACAGTGCCTGATGATCAGTTGGTCCTAAATTCAATAAGCAAGTGAGGTACAGGTACTACGTCAGATTTATAACCTCTGTTTGAATGAAAAACCTCTGATTCCATCATAGCACATGTGCCTCATGCTCTTGGCATGAATCAGGCCAATCTGGAGGTATATTTTAGGAAGAGTTAAAAACCACTTCAGGTGAGCAATCATGATGATGATAGAAGACTTAGAATACAACATAATAGTTGACTTCAGATTTAAGGAAAGAGCCAATATAGAAGAGGAAAGAGATGTTATTATCTTTCTTCTTGAAGGTAGAAGTAGGTGGAAGTCATTGGTAAGGAGGAATTTACAAACATATAACTGTTCTCTAATCAAAAGCCTAGTCTGCTTCTGAGATGGTGAGCTCCCAGTCATCAGGTGGTTTTGGTCAGAGGCTGCAGGAGAATGAGCTCTCAGTGAAGATGTAAGAGGGGATCCCTACCCTAAGTTCAAAACTGTTTGGTGTAACTTCTTGAATTTCTTCTGTTTTCAAGACTCTTTAACTACAAGATTACCAATAGAGTATTAAGCTTGGCTCATGTAAGGCAGTTTCTGCTAGTGTTAATTTAATTCTGTGAACACAAATGGAAGACTTCCTTTCCTTATTTAAAAAAACCTATTTATCAAAGCATGTGCTTTGATAATGCCGGAGCAGTACTGAGCCAGGACAAATAGTTCTGACCCTTCACCCCCTTGTTCTAACACAGACCCAGGTCCAACTGTCATCTTTGAAAATGAACATCATTGGTTCCAAATATTTATTATCTCAATCAACCACATATATAATATGCATTTCCAAAAGATCCCGGAAATATATTGGGAAATGTCTTCAAAGGACAAAACAAAGTCACTGTGTAATAAATGAGACGTTCAGGAATTGGCAGGTGAGAATAATTATTTCAAATTCAGATCTGTCAGAGTTAGAATTCTATAACAGAAAGTTAGAGATCATGTGGTTCAGTTTCTTTTCATTTGAGGAAAATGAGGTCAAGGAAACTGACCACTTTACTAGGGCTGCCTTGTTATTCTATTGAGAATAAAAATAAAACCAAATCAGAATTTTTGTAACCTGCAAATTGCCTCTCACCATGATGATCTTTTTTTAAAAAATATTTTTTATTGGTACATTTTGGATGTACAATACAGTTACATTCATCATTGGGGTCTTGTACCTTTACATGACAGGTCTTGGTTCTTATTTTTTCCTCATTCCCCTAGCTTCCCTTCCCCACTCCATCCTTCCATATTTACAAAGACTTTGTTTCCATTTTTTCTTTTCTCTTACATTTTCTCTTCCCTTTTGCCTTTCTCCCATTTGCCCAATACCTTTAGAACTTTACTTTGTATTACAAAATATCAATTATGCATTTTGACACTTACTTACACTTTTAGTTTATCACACCAGAGAAATTATGTGGTATTTACACATGTATGCCCTATTAATTTCACTTAAGAGTATGTCCTCAGTGTGCATCCACTTAGCTATAAATGTCTGTAGTTTCTCATTCTTTATGGCTGAGTAGTACTCTATTTCATAAACACACACACACACACACACACACACACACACACACACACACATCTTCTTTATCCCATCTTCAGCTAATGGGCAATTGGGCTGCTTCCAAGTTTTAGCTATTAAAAACAGTGACACTATAAACATGGGTGAGCATATATCGCTGTGGTATGATTCTTTTAATTCTTTTGGGAAGATACTGAGCAGGGGAATATCTAGTTAAAATGGGACTTCCAGTCCTAGTTGTTTAAAGTCTTTCCATATTGATTTCCACAGGGGTTGCACGAGTCTGCACTCCCACCAACAATGAAGAAGGGCTCTTTTCTCCAAAACCCCCACCAGCCTTTGTTATTGGTTGACTTCTTGATAGCAGCCATTCTTTCTGGGGTGAGGTAGAATCTCAGCATTGCTTTCATCTGCATCTCTTGAATGACCAGTGATATTGAACATTTTTTGTTATGTTAATTTGCTGCTTTTACTTCTTTGAGAAATGTCTGTTCATTTCAGATGCCCATTTTTGAATTGGATCTTTATATTTAGGGGGCCTGATTTTTTTTAGTTCTTTATATATTCTAGATAGTAGACCTTTATAAACATTTTTTCCCACATTATAGGTTGTCTCTTAGCTCTGTTGGTGATTTCTCTTGCAGTGCAGGAGCTTTTTAAAAAGTTCAGCTGTTGATTCTTTGTGCTAGTTCCTGTGCTACTGATGATTTGTTCATAAAGTCTTTTCCTATGCCAATGTCTTCCAGAGGTCTACCTAGCTTATCTTCCAACAAGTTTAGTGTTTCTGTTTTAATATTTAGATCTTTAGTCCACTTGGATTTTAGTTTACTGTATGGTGAAAGATAGGGGTCTAGTTTTAATCTTTGGCAAGTTGAAATCCAATTTTTCCAACACCATTTATTAAAGAGACTACCTTTCCTCCAGTGGGGATGGTTGGCTCCTTTGTCAAAGATGAGGTAGCTGAGTATGTCTAGAATTGTTTCTGTATCTTCTTATCTATTCCACTGATCCTCAGGTCTCTCTCTTTGCCAATACCACTTTGTTTTTAATACAGTGGCTTTGTAGCACAGTTTCAAATTGGGGATTGTGATATCCCCTGCCATGTCTCTGTTGCCTAGAATAGCAAAAGCTATTCTAGGTTTCTTCTGATTCCAAATGGATATTTATATTGTTTTCTCTAGTTCTGTGAAACATATCATTGGGATTTCAATCAGGATTGCATTGAGTTTGGACAGCAGTTTTGGAAGTATGGCCATTTTCATATATTGCTTCTTCCTACAGAGGAACAAGGGATATCTTTTCATTTTCTTATATTCTTTTTGATCTCTTTTTCCAGAGTGTTGTAGTTCTCAATGTAGAGGTCATTTGCTTCCTTTGTTAGATTAATACCTAGATATTTCATTTTTGGGGACGCTATTGTGAAAGGATTTGTTTCCCTAATTTCTGTCTCAGTGATTCTGTTATTTGTGTGCAAGAAAGCAATTGATTTTTGAGTGTTTACCTTGCATCCAGCAACTCTACTGTCAATTAAGTGTAGAAACCTTTTGGTGGAGTTTACCATGATGATCTTCTATTTCTCTTTCCATATAGAACATGGCTAATGATGCATACAGATAATAGGAACCCAACAATGAATGGGAACACAGTACACTCACTGACAAAAGAAACTTATATGTCACCTAAACCTACTATTTGCCATTTTTCCAATCCCAATGTTTCTTTTTTTGTTTCTCATTTATTTATTTATTCCCTTAAAAAAAGAAATGTACCCGGCAGTGTCTGTGGTCACCATGGTGATTATCAATTTGAGACAGGCAGAATTATTCAAGCTTCACTGAAGCATGTTTAGCAGCCACTACACAAGAGGCTTCTTAGTATGTGGCTCTCTCACGCGCTTTGATTTGAAAGCTTGTGCCTTCCCTTATTGAGTATTATTATTGGCCTGGCATGCTCTCAACAGGCAGAACCAAACATATATTTTAGGAGCACAGGGAAGCGCATTCTGAGTTGTTTATGACAAGAATGTGTAACTTTCTCAGAGTCTTGGCTCATTCTTTTATTTATTTATTAATATTTCATGAGCATTTGTTTTGTGCCAAGTACTTGATATACTTTTCTCTATTTCATGACATGCCTGTTGCTCCTGTTAGACTATGATTTCTCTCCATCTAGGGACCAAAGCAGAGAATTTGCTAAAGGATGATAAAGGATTAAAAAGCACAAGTAAACGCAGGAGTAGAGCCAGCCAGAGAAGAGTGGGAAGGGTCCCAAATAGAGTAGAAGGGAGATGGAAAAGGGTCAGGGTAGTAGAGAGCCATGTCACACTGAGGGAATCTGGAGCAGAACAGTGGCCAGCAGGAAGGAAGTACTGGCACAAATGGTAGGAGATGAGCTATTGTAAGTGAATACGAATCACAAGAAGTACTTAATCTACGAAGGACACAAGAAACTCAATCTGTCTTATACTTTACCTCTCAAGACAACCCTGTGATGATCTGAAGATGAAAGCAAAGATTAGAGAGCTGAAATGCTGCTTACAAAGTTACATAGCTAGAAAGCAGCAGAGCTCGTACTCTAACGCTGAGGTGTTTCCAAAGACCTCAGCAGCTACTGTGCACAGAAAAGGATGCTTGCCCAGGTATTGGCAGGATTGGATCCAGAAACAAATTGTACATAGTTTCTTACTTGATTCTCTGTGAAACGTACTACAGTTTTTTCCTCCCTTATTCAGTGTCATTTTCTGCTATTTCAGTCACTCAAAGTCAAAACTAAAAATATTAAATTGAAAATTGCAGAAATAAACACTTCATCCGTTTTAAATTTTGTGCTGTTCTGAGTAGCATGGTGAAATCTCACACTGTCACATTCAGTCCCACTGAAGATATATCATCCATTTGTCCAGTATCTTCCTGCCATGTATGTTTATCCACCTTTTAGTCACTTAATAGTCATCTTGTTGTGAGAGTGACTGTTGCAGAATCTCAGTTGTTTAAGAATGGCACCAAAGTGCAAGAGTAGTAATGCTAGCAATATAAGTATACCAAAAAGAAGCTACGGAGTGTTTTCTTTAGTTAAAATGTGCAAGTTCTAGACTTAATATGGAAAGAAAAAAAATCCGCATGCCAAGGTTGCTAAGAACAAACCTCTTTCTGAAATTGTGAGGAAAGAAAAAGGAATTTGTATTAGTTTTGCTGTTGCATCTCGAAGTACAAAAGTTATATCATGGTGCATGCCTTACTTAGTTAAGTTTGAAAAAAACACATCAACATACAGGGTTCAGTATTAATTCACATTTTCAGTTGTGCACTGGGGCCTTGAAAGGTACGCCCCTCTGAGAAAGGTGGATTAGTGTCATCTTTCCACTTTCTACATGTAAATGAGAAGGCCTCAATTTTCCATCTCTAAAGGAGAAAATGGTTCTTGGTGGACTTTTGCTCAGATTTCTTGATCTCAAGTAACCAAGGATGTGAGGCTTCTCTTGATTCTTACAAGAACTGAAGAGTCCCAGTTTTCTGATCTGAAGGACTTATTTTCTGATCTCTCTTGCACTTCCTTCTTTCTTTGAGACCTTATCTCCTTCAAATAGGCTCTTATGTCCTCTTCTTGAGGTAAATATCACTAATAAGTTTGTGTGTGAGTTTACTGGAGGTGCTGACCTTGCCTGGGAGCTAACAGCAAGCTTGTGATGAGTCCTGGGCAGAGGTAGGCATGCAGAGTTCTTGCCAAAGTGAGACTTTTGTTTTAGGGAAACAGGCTACCTTTCTTGATGTAAAGGAGGTGCTAGGAATTCTCTTACATGTGGTTTTATGTCAGGGTCTCCTCTTGGAACTGGCAGAAGTATTTTTCCCACTGAGTCAATATGACCTTGGCACTGACCAACCAGAATGGACACTGGCCCACGGAGAACCTGACTGGCTACGATACTGGCTGGATATCAGCTCTGCCAACACCTGAGAGAGAAGGCATATCCTTTGCAGCAGTAATAATCTTAGATGCCTGTAGCCCAGACAATAGCCTCAGTTACCTTTCTCTTGAGAACTCTGATTGGGATGATACATACTTTTGCTTCTATTTGCTTTCTGGGAACACAGTGCAGAAAAGAGATCACTAATTTCTAGGACTAGAAGGGTCTGTTGGTTGCAGTAGTGCTTCCTGGGATCAAGGCCAAACAGCTCCTTCTTTTGTCTACCATCTCAGGGGAAGGGAAATGTGTCCCTATTCATTCAGAGGGCCCGTCTTCTTAAAAGTTTTGTCTGGATCACAGAGCACTTTCATCTTTGCATACCTTAGAATAAGTATAATCCCAATCTTCACTAAAAGTAGGAGCTATAACCTCATATTGTTAGGGTTTCTCTAAACTCAGTCTTTTGGGTTTTTTGCAATTTCACAATATTTTCACAATTATTAGCATTACAAACCATTTGAGTCACATTAAAGAAGTTCTAGGAGAAAGAATAATCTATTAAAAGCTTTCATTCTCCACATAATGGTTTTGTACAGTGCTGAAAGACCTCTTTAAATATTACCTGTGAATGGAAACCTGACTTTTACAAATTACCCAGGAAATGTATAATACTCTTGTAGCATAGGCTGTTAGTTTACAGGCGCTCACAGGCAGCACATGTTCAGACAACTGAGCACCAAGTAATAAAGCATGTCTCTCATAATAAAATGACAATATATCTAACCTGTAGGCAGTATGTGGCTTCAGCGGTCCGTCACAGAATTTTTGCTGATTGGGATCACATTTTCCACCTAGGCTGTCCATCTCTGCTCCAAGCTTAATGTTAAAACTCCTGGAATTCCTGTCAGGACTTTCGGCACATTTGCTGGCAAAATAATTGGTCTGATACACTCGAATGGAGGTATTGTGCCTATATTCCAGGTAGGAAGGAAGAGGGTGCTGTTGTTCTGGCTTCAGCTCATCACTGCCTGAAGGAGAAAACCCAAAGTTAAGGCTGGCCTTTCTTGTGCCTTGAGTGATTTCAGTGACATTTAACTAGGATTCTGAGGTTGCAACCTTGGCCACTATTTCTGGCCATCTCAGAATACAGATTCTGTGATCTAAAGGGATGCTGTAAAATTCTCCTGATGAAATTAATTGTAATTCACTTTTTCTAAAATAAATATTATACACACATATATAATTATTTTCTAAGAAATAAAATGAGGATATCTCACTGTATCAATAGATAATGTAGCTAAACACCAGCAAGCTGGATATCTCAACAAGTCAACTCATTCAACTAGCTCTCTACCTTGCCAATAGCCACTGTAGTGGAGTTAATAGGGAAATCCCTATGACCTGGGAAGTAGGGAAGAGATAGCAAAAATCATGTCCCAGGTCATAGCAGTTGTTCCACAATGCATGATCCACATGTCCTGCCCAGTCTGTTAATTGCTCTGTGTGTGGCTTTTTGTTATCTTGAGTACAATTTAGTCCTGGCTCACTCTGAGCAGTTCCCAGAACTCTTCCCTTGTTTACCCTCTGCTCTGTGTTTTGGCACTATAAACTAGTTTTGATATTGGTTGGAGAAAAGCATAATTAGGAAGATAAATATTATGGAGATCAGATACCATTTATAAAGAACTTCAAGGAGTGGTACTATAGGGTTCATCACAGCATCCTGGACTTTTACTTAATTATTTTTTAAATTTTTATTGAGATGGACTTTTACTTAAAAAACATTGCTCACAATGAGTGGATCTTAAAATATTGTTATTTTTCTAGTTTATTGGTCTTTTACATATGCCACGTCGAGGATGCAGGTTGGTGTGTAAGGGAGAAGGAAATGATTGACTTCAAAACCAAGGTCCTCATAACATCACTTTCCTAACCCTCATTTTAGAAACCTCCCAGATAGAAATGTTTATGGTATTTTCTTTACTTTGGTCTTCCTCTCCCTGAGTCACTGTACTACTGCCTAAATCCTGAAGCCACCTTTCCAATATTCTCTGGTTCTTCTCCCTTCACATATCCCCTCTTCCCTAGCCTCTAGCCAGCAGAGCTTCCTTTTGACCAGCAAATCTAAGACCCGGATGACAGGTGACTTCCTGCATTTGGTTGATTGGTTCTTTTGTCAAACATTTTCATTTCTGGAAATAGACATATTATTTTGTTAGTAGCAGTTGAAAATAAATGTTGCCTTAGGATAAGTGTGTATGCTATGCATGATATTTATAGGAGATGCTCACCGGGGGATTACAGCCCATCTCTGTGGACACAATGCAAATCTATTTGCTGCTTTCAGGGATGTGACTTCATGTATAATTAAAAAGTAGTCTTTTTATAGTTCACAAATTTATCTTTAATTATGAGGTTTAAGAAAATCTGGAATGCACCTTGAAATTATTTAATTAACTATGCACAACCAGATTTAGCACAGATAAATAAAGTGTAAAGCACATGGACTGTTAGATACACAGAATGAGAATAAAATATAGCTTAGCCTGGAAATTGTTCCAACTGTTTTTTAGGTTTAAAATTTCTACTTTATCCACAAATCAGTCAAAGTTGTCAGGGATGCTTAAGAAACTCACTTGTGGCACCTTAAATAATTTTTAAAAATATAAAGAAGGTAAAATATATTAATGTCATTGCAGGAAGAAGCATCTCTTTTGGAGAATTAACATATATAACTTAAATGGCAAATTCATACAATATATGTACCTCAAATACAATACTCCTACAGTCATTTGAAAAATGCTCTATAGATATAATATAGATAATAATAAGCAAAAGACTGTTTCAAGGCTCTTTTAGTGATCAAACCCATTATCCTTGAGGTTTAATTATTAAATGGGTTCCATAGAATGTTGCAAAACTATTAGGTAGTATTTGTCTAACCTGTAGGAGTTAGGTAGCTGCTGAGTAATTTAGGAAACTAGAGAATAAAATATACCATTCAAAATTTACTTGAGAAAGAAGAAATGTTCTTCATGAAGTTTTCTCTCTCTCAAGCTTTTGAATATTTTTGTGAGTAGGTGGGTGGATTGGGAGTGTATAGTCAATCAAGATATTTGAAACAGGGCCAGAAAAGTAGCTCAATGGCACCATACCTACTTGGCAAGCACAAGGTCCTGAGTTTGATCCCCAGTACAAAAAAAAAAAAATTGAGAGAGGGTTAGAGAATTAAGACATATTGTAGTTTAATGGTAGAATGAACAGTGAATACCATTTATGAGTAGTGGGTGGGCTGGGGTAGGCAGATAAGACTAAAGATTAATGAAAAGGATTTTACTGGTCAGTACATGCAGAGCATTTCCAACAATGCCTGTCAAATAGAATTCAATAAGGACTGGTTATTGTTATCATTATAGTTGATATTCTTTTTCCTCTTCTCCCATTTAATAATTAAACCTCAAGGATAATAGGCATGGTCGCTAAAAGAGACTTGGAACATTCTTTTGCTACATTTCCTTGTATCCAACGGAGACAGAGCTAAATGATACCAAGATTAACCTTGGTACTCTGAAGAACTTGTCACAGAAGGAACCTCCACACAACCTTTGAGAAGTCAACTCTTCATTTTAAGCAGAGTTCATTAACTCATCCTAACTTACCATCAGCCTCTCTCACCACCACTGTAAAGTATTTCACAGCTCCGTTGGTGTCGCTGAACCAGCTGCAGTTGACAGTAAAGTTGATGGAAGATTTGCTAATTAGCACATCCTTTTCATTCACACGAATATGTGGGGGTGGAGGAGGTGGTCCTAGAAAAGAGTTGATGGAAGCATCAGGGGTCACAGCACTGCTCTTACTCCCTAACAAGAAGTGGAACAAAGGCCTCCAGTCACACCAGACACCAGACTCTGTGTGTGTGTGTGTGTGTGTGTGTGTGTGTGTGTGTGTGTGAAAGAGAGAAAGTGTGTGTGTCTAAAGCTTGTGATCAAGAAATTGTCCCCTCCTTTGAAAGGAAGCAGGTAGAGGATATGATTTCCCAGTGGCACATTAGACACAATGAAAGAGACAGCTCCTCAGTAGGATTTCCTGAAGTTGCAGCATCAAATTGCTTAAAAGTTCCATTATAGCTCTAACTATAACAGGCAAAGTGATGTATTTAAACACTAACTCATTCAGGTACTTTAAAATCATTTAACTTGTTTATTTTCAGCCTACTTTACCCATAAAAATGTTTCCATTTTCTGGAGCCTTTTGGGTCCTTTTCTCCAAGTGATAATGATACAAGCTTATGTACTAGTGAACTGTATGCAAATGAGTAGTGGAGATGGTTGGGCTAGAGAAGTGCAGAGCTCTTACCCATGTAGCGGGAGGCCCAAGCGATCCTATAGAGACACTTACGATCTATCATTGTGATGGTGCTGTCTTCAACCACCTCGCTGGTCACACCGGCTGACTGCACCTTGATGGACACCAGGTACCTCTTATGGGGTACCAGCATCATGATGTTGAGCAGAGATTTTTCTTTCTCCAGCTTTCTGGAAAACTCAATTTCTTGGGTATCCATTTTGCGGCATTCAATGCTATACCCATCAAAGTCCGAATCAGGGGGGATCCAAGAGCAAGCAATGGCCGTTGAGTTCTGAGGGCGGCAGTGAAGATTTTGTATCTTGTCTGGCTCTAAAGCAGAGAGGGGAGAACAATTCAGCACTTTGGCAGATATACACTTTTCAGCTCCTTCAGGTTCAGCTAACTCTGAGATGTCAAGAAATAATTCTCACATTTTTCTTAGATTGTTTTGGAGGAGAAAATGCTCAAGGGATTTCTGGCTGCCCTGCCCCGATTTGAAAAAAAAAAAATTAAAGTTAAAATGTTGTCCCTTTAAAGAATCACCAAGTGACAACATGTTAGAAATACAAATGCACGTGAAATCAAGGGACAGAGGTCAGATAAAAGGCGAGGCAGAATAGCTCGGGGCTAAAAGTGCAGCTTGGCCAGTTGGATTATAATTTCTATTTACTTGTTGTGCACTCTTGAGTAAATTACATCTCTATGTCTCATCTGTCAAGCGAGGATGTTAAAAGTATCTTTGTTATATGGCTATTGTAATGATTCAGCAATTGGATCATGTACAGCCACCTAGAAAAGTACCAGACACAGTAATGACTCAATAGACGGGAGTTCTTCCAGGGATGGAGTTACAAACTGGCATTGCTGACTTGCTACCCCCCACGCCTGACTTCTACCTCCCGTCTCCACCCTTTGCCTGTCCTTCCCTGCTCACATGCCATGCCACAGACACAGACATTGCTGCGGCTCCTCACATGTCATACTGTTCTATACCACTCTGTTTATCACAACTCAGTTTTCTTCTGTCGGATCCAGTAGCTGACACACAATAGAAACTCAATAAAGGGCAGCTAGTCTGGTTTGTGGTTGTGAATGACACAGCACTAAGCAAAAGATTCAGTCTGAAATAGGAGCACTTATGAGACCATGGAGGTTAATAACCAAACTCCTAGGCTTCGCCAGCCCACTCTGTATGTTGACCATCTCTAATTACATGCTCTGAAGGTAAACTGTACAGTTTAGATAAATAGTTTTTGAATTTCAGTTGGAGCAACTGAGGCATTTAAAAAAGAAAAGTTCTCAGCTCCCCAACATGTAAAATCAAAGGGGCTGTGGTCCTGCATTTTCTGTGAATTGGGGAATCAAAGGTGTCACACCAAAGTGGAGCCAAGACTTCTTGTTTTGTACCCTTTTTCTTCAGGAACTTCTGAGAAACCCTCAGGCTCTGAAACAGAACTTGAAAACCTAGGGCTAGACCAGTAATGGTGACCTATGGCATGCAGGATTCAGTGGGTTGTTTTGTCACTGAAAGCTCTATAAAACGTTCGCCGTCACTGGTCTAAACCATCCAATTTCATTTTAGGGGTCAAAAGCTTTGGTAAAGAGATTTGAAATCCTGCCCATTGTTTTTTTGGCCATAGCATAACATACAATAACAGTTCTCAGACAGCAGCAATCCATGAAGTCAATTCATTTAAAAAGCTCACAAAAATGTTGCATGTTGCAGGGTGTGATAGAAACAGAAAGGCAAAAGCTAGAAACGATGAACCTTAGGGAGAAAGAACAGAAAAAAAGCCATTCAATATCCTCGTTTAGTTTTTATGGTCTCTGTTACAAATTTTATGATTTCCTCTTTACTTATTCTTCCCCTCCCCCAAATTAAAATCATATATTCTATTATAAGCCTTTTAGATATGAAAGGCTACATAATTTTCAGGGGCTAGTACCAAATGTAAATGTGATGTCTCTTGCTCAAAAATTGCTAAGAATTTTGATGCATTGCAGCAAAGGAAACAAAGACTGGATCAAACAGGACAGCGAGGTGGAGCCGGTAGCAGAGTGCTTGCCTAGGATGCTCCAGGCCCTCAGTTCAATCCCCAGTACTTCAAATACAAAACAAAATGCAACACCACCTCCAAAGCCAGGACAGAATATCCATAAGCTTTGTTGGTGTTCTGCTTAACAGACTGAAAAGACCCTGATCATAGTAAGCCACTGAAAACTCAGCCTGAGCTTGCTATAAACTAAAACTCTTAGTTTTTTTCCTCAGACACAGCTATCTGATCCCAAACTGTTCTTTGGGTACAATGTGGAACACAAGTTATCTCTGTCGTGGCTTTACTATTTATTGAATGTATGAAACTATTTCTTGCTTAAATTTCCAATTTTCAACTATGTATTTTACTGATAACCAATAACTATCTGAGCTGATCTTGAAAGCTACATTTACTGGATACTAACTGGTTTCTCTGCTTCTAGTCTTGCCCCTTTCAATTTATTGTCTGCAGTGCAACCAGAGTGTATTTCTAATATGATTAAGCATAATCTCTGCTGATGAAGTTGAAGTTGACACCATGGCACACAAGACATTTTACAGTCTAATTCTCTTTATCCTCACCCTTCAAGCTCTGGCCAGCTAAGCTTTCTTTTGTCCCTTAGTCTTGCAATATTTTTTTCTCTCTACCTGGAATGTTCTCCTCTTCTATTCCCCAGTTCTAATAGGTGAATTCCACTCTCTTTAGGTTTCAATTTGGATGTTTCACTTTTTCCTTTTTTTTTTTCTTGGTACGAGGGATCAAACTTGGGCCCTTGTGCTTGCGAGGCAGGTGGCAGAACCACTGAGCTTAATTCTGGGCATGTATATTTCTTCCTCTAGGAAGCTCTCTTGTATTGAATTAGTTGTGCACAACATGATTTTCTATAGTACCATTTATTTTCCTCATCACATCCTAAGTATAATTGTCTTTTAAATAATAATGATAATAATACCCTCAACCAAAGCTCCATGTGAGCAGAATAATTTCTTCATTGTCCAGTTCATGTGTAATGAATGAACAAATTTATATCTCATCTGTCTGAATTCAAGTCCAATGAATCTGAAATAAAATGTGTGTTCAAATCAAGCCTTACTGAAATATATTTCCTCTCACTCCATTTAAAACACAAGAGTAGAAAAACATGTCATACTTGTCCTCACAGATCCAGAAACTGGTTTGCTGTAGGTTTTCCAGGCATCACCACTGACGGTCTTGACACTGAACTGATAGGATCTCCCTGGACGAAGACCATAAACAATACGTCCTTCCGATTTTTTGTTGCTGTAGGGGTTGAAGATTGTGAGTGGATCCCTGGGGAGCCACTGCAACTCAAAGTCATTGTAGTCTGTCCAATCTGGGGGTCCCTTCCAGGTAATGGCCAAGGATGTATTCGCAACATCAGCAAATGACAAAAGACTGGGAGGACTTGGGGCTGTGTGTAGGAGGAAAATGAAAAGCCACATAATCACATCAGTGCTCAACGAAAACAAATAACATCACTGAATGACATCAGACATATTTTCAATGTACTTTGTTGGAAAGGTCAGCTTGGTTAAAAGGCAGTAGGAGCTTTAAGTTATATTATTTACTATGTACAAGGCACGGTCCTCAAGTGTTACACATACCTTTCAGATTTTATAATCAGAATTTCCTTAGCCAGGCTACTGTAGGGCATGAATGTGTGCCAAATGGGTTTTAGGTGTGGGACAGTGTTGATTCCATTAGTGTTTTGGGTTAGGGTGGGGATTCATAGATAATCATCCCCCATTTTAGATGGTCTTATTGGCTGACCCCAGGGTGGTATACAGATATCATTTATGTGTGCCCAAGACATAAAAACATTCAGGAATTACAGGCCATAGCAACATAATGACGATGTATATTATTATCTTCATTTTAAAGATATGAAAACTAAAGTTTAAAGATGTCTAATGACCTACTAGCTTTATACAGGTAGGTTGCAGTGCTAAGATAAGGACCTAGTTCTTAAAGTGTGTGTATTTTATCCTCTATACCATAATGCCTTTGTAAGGGTTAATACACGGCACATCATCATTGATTTTATTATTATTAAAATCATAATGAAAAATGTGTTTAAATTAAAATAAACTACTTCCCTCTAACACTTGGCCACTGGTGATTGGGCTTCTTACCTGTTCTGCCCTCCCCTGTGATCCTGTTGCTGAAATCTCCACTATGAGTTACCACACACAGTGTGTACTTCCTTCCAGGGACAAGGCCATGAAAACGCCACTCTTTCAGGTCCCTGTGTTTCCAGTTTTCCTTCTTAGTGCCATTAGGATTGTAGAGAATCAGTTCATAAAAGTCGAGGTCTCCGGGGGCTGGACTCCAGGTGAACCAAAGGCTATCTGTCATGTTCTCATTTAATCCCTTGAGATGACTCACTGGGGCTGGGACTTAAACAGAAGAAAAGCTCTTACTGAGAACAAAGCAGAACCAAAGGCATCTTGACCTACAGTTGAGAATATAAGCTATTCCGGGCATATATATATATATATAGATAGATAGATAGATAGATAGATAGATAGATAGATAGATAAGCAGTATGTATTGTGGGGTCAGTTCATACTTGCATTTCAGATCAGTTATATTAAATGTGGTAGAAATTAAAACAAAACAAAACAGGTGGTGACTTCTATATGCTTGCACTTTGATAAAGAAGTAAAATAAAATCTTCATAAATGTTTAACACTAATCAAGTAATTTGCCACTTAGGTTATAAAAGACCCAGAAAATGTTAATAAATGGTTGTGTCTCTTCTCACGTTGACCCATCCTGCTGGCAGCCACCATCCCACATCTCTCTATATACTTTTATTTCTATTTATTTGTCTTTTGGCTCTGCATTTTTTCCATAATCTTTATCCAAATCTGTGTTGCTATATCTTTATTTAAGAAAAGACTCTTTAGCCACTCCTACCACTTTGCAAGTACAAACTAGTCACATTACCACCTGCTCTACGGGTGCATGAGCTTTTTTATTCTTTGGACAGTGAAGGCTATTGCTCCCTTTTGGTAACTTTACACATGAATGAGCAGATAAGGGAAGTGGCACAGGGGACAGGTTGCCTTGGAAATGATAACATCTAGGTAATTCGATTTATGCTCTAAGCATATCACTGAGCTTTTTCATCTTCTTCAGAACTCCTACTGATGCCCTTGAGATATGTTCTTCACATAACTTGCTCACCTTCACGTCTCAGCTGAAATGCCTTCTTTGTTTAAAGCGTTGTTTTTTCTTTCCAAGTCACTGTCATGACACATTTTCAATTTCTTTTGTAGCATTTAAGATATTCTAAAGTGATAGCCCTTTAAAATCTACTGTCTTAGTTCTTTTCTCCCTTAAAGTCAAGCCCTCTGAGACAAGGGGTCTTTCTGCCTTGTTCATTGTGGTATTCCAGGAATGAGCCATACATTTGGCATGTAAGAGCACTTGAAAACTATTGTTAAGCCACAGTAAAAAGTTGAATAGGAGAAAAGGGACTGAAATCATGTAAAAAAAAGAGATCCCATTTCTCATTTGCAGCCAAGAGACCTTTCCTTTTATCTAGTACTATTTTCTTCTATCTAGTACCATGTTTCCAATTCATAGCAATGTGTGGTTGCCTTTCTCTTGTACTGCCTTCTGCTCCATCTACGTCTTGTATAAACCCAAAGAACATTGAATAGAACCATGATGGGTTACAATCTTCTTGTATAGTTTGACAGGAAGTAGAGGAGCCAGATTCATTTTTCACCAAATTCTATGAGGCAAATAAATGGAGGTGAAGTAGAAACCAGTACAAAAACTGCCCACAAATTACTCACAAATAATCAAAGGCCGCAAAAGGCTAAAGGTCACACATTCCTATAAAGCTACCTGCCCCCTGGATAGAAGAGGGAACTGAGACCAAATCAGGAAAGAGCCAATGAACACAATTTCCTTGGTGTTCATCACTGCTGGGTCCAAGTCTTACCTGTTCTGCCAAATATGAATGACTCATTAGACAGTTCCCCACTGTGAGTTACAATCACCATTTTGTACATTCGGCCTTGCAGCAAGTTCTGGAAAGAGAAGCTCTGGACCAGTGGGTCAACTTGTGCTCTTTCCTGAAGAGTTCGATCCGGGTTGTACAGAAAAATGTTGTACCAGTTGAGTTCCCCCTCTGAAGCAGTCCAGCTGAAGGATAGATGTCTAGTGGAATTTTCTGTGATCCTCAGATTGGTGACAGCTGCTGGGACTGGAAAAGTAAAGGAGGGAGAGAATAAGACAAAGTTCTGGTGTGTCAGTGCCATAGTCTAGGATTAATATCTGCATAGACACACTCCACCCAAAACACATGGTCCCTGCATTAAAATAAGTGGACTTGCAATGGCTGTAAAAAACAAAACAAAACAAAATCTTTTTTATAGTGCTGGCCACCTGTTGCTTGCATGGAGTACCCTTGCACGGAAGCAACCCTTTCCAGTGGATGTTCATGTCTGTGATCTTATGCTATTCCCAATGTTGGTTTCAGACAATTCCGTAGGGTACTGTCATGAAGCCTCAGGGCATGGTGGCCTGGATTTATACTGGCTAAGTCACCATGTCCATCCACACCAAACAATAGCACAGGTACTTGAGGCCCTATGCAGGATCAAGTTTAGTCTATATCTCAAAGTGAGGCTTCAGCAGCTTAACATGGAGGAAACTGAAGTCATGATGGCTGATGCCCGATGGCTATGGGATCAAATACATCCCAATCATGCTTGAATGAGTGGCATGCCCTGCACTCACAAAAACTTCTTCTGTGCTACTCCCTCCTCCTTAATCATGCCTTCCAATAAGTCCTACTTCAAATCCAAAGCAAAAACAAGAAGAAATGCTGATATCACAGAGACTGGAAAATAAAGAAATCTTGAAGTTTGTGAGTTACGAATTCCGAAAGTATTATTTTTTTAAAAAATACATAAGAGATCCCAAAACAACAGTAATGGGAAATTATCTTATCATTTCCCTTGTTGCTGGGATGAAATGACTGACACCTGCAACTTAAAGGAGGAGAGGCTGGTGTCGGGCTCACAGTTTCAGGAGTTTCACTCAATGTCCATCAAGTTCAAATGCAGAATCATCACAATAGAAAGGGCCTGGGTGGGGGAGGGAGGGAAGCTGCTGACTCTGCGTGGCCAGGAAGCAGAGAAGGAAGAGAGGAGCCAAAGAGAGAATTATACCTTCCAGGTCGGGGACCCAGTGACACATCTCCTCCAACCAGGTCCCACCTCCTAAACATACATGAGCCCACCCGTGAGTGTGGCACCCTTAGGATCCAGTGACCTTCCAAAAGCCTGGTCTCTGAGTGTACGAGGCTACGGAGGGACATTCCAGATTCAAACCACCACAGAAATTATCTTCACAGACTTTTATTTTGGTTTAGAATAAATACGAGTGCAGTGTAGGTGAGTAAACACTTCTCTAATACCGAGAATTAGATCAGGGATTAACAGACTAAGACATGGCTACTGGAAGTAAGGAAGAACGGTAAGAACAGAGTGGGTGGGAACAAAAGGGGAAAAAACGAATAGAAGAAACTAGATGTAGGAATATGGGAAAGAGAAACAATGCAGAAAACCAAACCCATTAAAAATAGCTGCTAGAAATGACCAACATTTAGACCAGTGGAGCACATGCTGCTCGATTCCCTGAATGTCAGAAGATGCCTATAGAAACAGAACAGGACAAGTGTCGATTCTGACTTCCCTTGGATTCTCTTCCCTTCATCCCAAATAATCTTTCTCTGGCTCTTTTCTGCTTTCTCCTCTCCTTATTCCAATCCCCTAAAAGTTTCTTTTTTCCATGGTTCCATCCTTCATCTCTTTCCTAGTCTATAATACTAATTAAGCAATTAATCTCATTCCTTTTATGGATTTAGCTAGCGTTTTGGACCAAATCTTCATGTCCATCTCACTTATCTTCTGAGTTCAGATCCATTTTTTTCCCACTTGCCTATGGTTCCCTCTCTTTGTAATCATTTTGATATATCCAGTTCAACACAGACTGCACAGATTTCTTCTTGACCTTCACTCTTTGCTCTTCTTCCTCCTTAATTAATGACATTACCTTCTATCAGACACCCCAGGCAGAAACTCTGGAATCTACTATTCCCTCTCTTACAATGAGTGCAGCCACCGTGTGCAGCCTTACCTAATGCTGAAATATTTTGTTAACATAACCACGAGCAGACTTTTTACTGTTCTTCGCCCAGGCACATACCTCTCAGAGACTGGGCCTTGCTATTAGATCTGCTTTGAGATACTCTCTATCAGGTATTTACATGGGTGTCTCACTTATTTTAGATTTTTACTCAAATAGCATGCTCTCAATGAAGTCTTTGAGGACCGTATTATCAAAATTTATAACCCTCAGCACTTGCTATCTCACTGTCTGGCTTTAATTTTTTTCTTGAATCTCTTGTATGTTTTGCTTATTTGGTTATTGCCTTTCCCCCTTACTAGCACATAAGCTTCGTGACTCTGAGAGTTTTTAATTTACTTCTGTGCATCCAGCAGTTGGAACAGTGTTACCATATCGTAGTTACTTGGTAATGACAAAATTAATAAACCAGTTTCCCCTCTTCTGGTAACTTCTCCATTTAATCCATTCCCCTATTGCCATCTCACTTATCTTTTCTAAGGTACGATTTATTTTTACTCCAAAATGATTACTCTTTAGCTGAGATTTTACTGTTTTCTCATTGCTTACAAGTTAGAAAAAAAAAAGATAAACTCCTAAGGAAAGGTATAATTTGGCCCTAATCTGGCTTGGCAACTTTAGATTTCTGTCGTGCAGCACACACTTTAGTTACACACAACTTCTTATTCTCCTTCTCCCACCAACTGGCCTCTGCACAGATTAGTCGGTCTGCACAGGCTGCTTTCTCACATGTCTGCATGGAGAACTCCTTTGTTCTTCAGGACCATTCGGAAACCTTACATTTTAAAAGATTTCTCAATTCTACCCTATGTCTGTGTTTCCCCGAATGTTGGGCATTCTTCTTTTATATACAATCCTTATCACAATATATCATCATTTGTCTATGTGTCTGTCTCCCTCACTAGTTAGTCCTTTGCTTGCAGATAAGAAGCATGCTTTATTTATCTTTATGTCCTATAAATATCATCAGACTCCTTCAGACTTAAGCGCTTAATAAGTAAGTACCCAATTAGACTAATGTGGTTGTTGGAATAATGCCCCCCAAATACATATCTTACTGGCCAGAACCTGTGACTATGTTACCTTGTATGGCAAAAAGAACTTCATAGGTGTGATGCAGTTACAGATCTTGAGGTGGGAAGATTATTTTGGACTGTCAGGAGTGACTGACATAATCACAAGTTTTTTTTCTCTCTGCCTCTATCAAACCCAGGACCTCACACGTGCTAGGTAAGTGCTCTGACACTGAGATACAACCGCAGCTTTAAAAAATTTTGTAGTTTTTAATTGTACAATTTCATGGAATACAATGTGATAATTTAACACATATATACTGTATAATAATAAAATCAGAGTTTATGTATCTTAAATGTTTAATTTTTATTAATACATAATAGCTATACATATTTTGGGGCATCGTAATAATTCAGTGGAAGTATACAATATGTACTGATCAAATCTGGGTATTTAATATTTCCATCTCCTCCATTTTGTGTCAGGAGCTTTTGAGCTTCTCTCTTCAAATTATTTATTAAATATGTTATAGGTTAAAGAGAACTATATTCTTCCTAATTGTGTTTTAGTACCCATTATCCAACTTTCCTCTATCTTCTTCCCCAACTTTCCTAGTCTCTAGTAATCCTTATGTATCTCGAAAAATTTGTTGGCCATTTGAATGTCCTCTTTTGAGAAGTATCTATTCATATTCTTTGCTCATTTTTAATTGGATATTATTTAATTGTTTGAGTCCCTTTAAAATTCTAGCTATTAATTCTTTGATAGGTGAGTGGTATGCAAAAATATTTTTCCCATTTTTTTTAGGCTGTGTCTTCACTCTAGAGATTGTTTCCCTTGCTGTGCTGAAGTTTCTTAGTTTGATATAGTCCCATTTGTCATTTTTGCTTTTTTATTCTTGTACTTTTGGGATTGCATAAAAAAATCATTGGCTATACTGATGCCTTGAGCTGTTTCTCCTATTTTTTCAGTTGTTTCATAGTTTTATTGTTTCAAAGTATTACATTTAAATCTTTGATTCATTTTGAGTTTATTTTTATATAGATGAGAGATAGGGATCAAGTTTCAATCTTTTGCATTGTATATCAAGTTTTCTGAGTACCAGTTATTGAAGAGGCTGTCCTTTCTCCAATGCATGTTTTTGGTACCTTTGAGGAGATCAATTGGCTATAAACATGTGGGGTATTTCTGGGCCTGCTAATTTATTTCATTGGTCTTTATGTTGATTTTATGCCAAAATTATGCTGTTTTGATTACTATAGCATTGTAGCATATTTTGAAGTCAGGGAGTGTGATGTTTCCAGCTTTGTTCTTTTTTGCTTAAGACTGCTTTGGCTATTATGACTTTCAGCTTCCATATGAATTTTAGGATTTTTTTTCTAGTTTTGTAAAGAATGTTATTGGTATTTTGATGGAAATCACAATGAATCTATAAATTGCTTTGGTAGTATGGACACTTTAACATTATCAATTCTTTCATTCTATGAATGTGGGAGACCTTTCTATTTTTTTTGCGTATATATTATTCAATTTCTTTCATCAGGATTTTATAATTTTTATTTTATTTATTTTTTTCCTTTTTATTGAGTTCATTGGTACATTTTAGGTATACAGTGCAGTTACATTCATCATTGGGATCTTGTACCTTTACATGACAGGTCTTAGTTCTCCTTTTTTCCCCTTGTCCCTGCCCTTCCTTCACCCTATAATTTTTATTGTAGAAGTCTTTCACTCCTTGGCTGAATTTACTTCTAGATATTTTCTTTTCTTTCTTTCTTTCTTTTTTGGTACTGGGGATTGAACTTGGGTCCTTGCTCTTGCAAAGCAGGCCCCCGAACCGCTGAGCTAAGTCCCTGGCCCTTAGATATTTTATTTTCTTTGTAGCTACTAGGAATGGATTCCACTCATGATTTCTTTCTCAGAAATGTCATTATTTATTTAGTTATTTATTTTTGGTACTGGCTATCAAACTCAGGTCCTTGTGCTTTCAAGGCAGGCGGGAGAACCACTGAGCTACATCTCAGGTCCTGCAATGTCATTATTGATTTATAAAATAATAACACTGATTTTTGTATGTTGGTTTTGTATCCTGCAACTTTACTTAATTTATCAGTTCTAATAGTCTTCCAGTGGAGTCTTTAGGTTTTTCTATAGATAGAATTGTATCATCTACAAACAGAAATAACTTGACTTCCTCCTTTTTAAATTTGTAGGCCTTGCTTAATTGTGCTGGCTAAGACTCCTACTACTGTGTTGAATAAGAGTTGTGAGAGTAGACATCTTTTCTTGTTTCAGATCTTAGAGGAACGCCTTCAGCTTCCACCACCATTAGGTATGATGCTGGCTAAGAAATTGTTATAGAAAGCCTTTATTATATTGAGGCATGTTTTTACACCTAATTTGTTCAGAATTTTTGTAATGAGGGGATACTGAATTGTCCTGAATGCTTTTTCTGCATCTACTAAAATAATTTTGATTTTCTCCTTTATTTTGTTCATATGATGTATTATATTTATTAATCTATTTATGTTGAACTACTCTTGCATCCTTGCAATGAATCCCAATTGATCATGACAGATTATCTTGTTGCTCTGTGGTTAGATTAGATTTGCTAGTATTTTTGCATCTGTATTCATTAGAGATGTTGATCTATAGTTCTCTTTACTGTTGAGTCCTTGTCCAGTTTTGTTACTAGAGTAGTTCTGGCTTTGTGGAATGGATTTAGACAAACTTCCACCTTTTTAGATTTTTCAAAAAGTTTGAGAACTCATGTTGGTTAGTCCTGGCTGGGGGTATAGGCTCACGAATGGCTGTTCTTAGGGGAAGGTGGGCATAGGGAACTACAGTGGTAGAAAACTAAAACAGCGAGCTTCCACTCCTGGTGGTGGTGAGGGCCATCCTGCAGCTGGCCACAGAGGCTGTAGTGGAGAACTGTGGATTCCCACTCTATGGCGCTCACTTTCTGTCCTGGTGCAAGAGTCCTTAAACAATGACAGAGGAGGGGAGAAGAGCAGAGAAAGAGACATAACAACAGATGCTGAGGTAGGAACGAGATTGTAGCTACAAGATGACATAGCTGGGGACTGTGGAGTCTCCAGAAGTTGAAAAAGGTAAGGAATAGACTTTCCCCCAAAAGTCTCTGGAACATTCATAGGTCTGCTGACACAGGACAACTTGATTTTAGTTCCATTTTCGGACTTTAACTTACAGAACTATAAGATAATAAATTTGTGTTGTTTTAAGCCATCAGTTTACGGCAATTTATTACATTAGCAATAGGGTTCTAATAGTGCCAGTTTTAATAAAAAATCTGAATTGGAGTGTGGTGGGCTGCAGCCTGTATACCTGACTGGTGTGGGATTATCTGATACAAAACATTAAATTATGCTAATTACCTGTTCGGCCTTCAGCTTGGGCTTCCTTGCTAAAGAGACTTCCGCTGACAGTTAGGATTTGTATCTTGTATTTCTTGCCTGGTGTTAGATCTTCAAATTTGTGCTGCTTAGCAGTAGCTGGCTCTGATGTGTTGCTCAGAAGGATCTCATTTTCATTTAGAAGCAGGATATCATATCGTTCTGCCACACCAATAGCTTTTTGCCAACTTATTATTAAGGAATGACTGCTATATGCATTATCTGCACTTATTCCCTGGACAGATGCTGGGACTACAAAGAAACAAGAGAAGCACGAAAATTCAGCTTCAGTCCCTCTGGTAAAGTAACTAATTGAGAGAGACTCTTGATTGAATCAAATCAAATTGAGTTAAATCAGACTCCTTATCTCTCTGCCCAATCATATTATTATCTTTTGTTTCTGTCTTTTGGCCCAAATCAGAAATATAGATTGTCACTCTCACCCTTCCACATGTAATCAAACACAAATCTTGAAGTTCTGTGTCCTAAATATTTCTTCTTTTGAATCTGTCTCCTCTCTTCTCTCCTGTCACTATATTAGGGCAATGTCGTCTGTTTCATACGTTATTGCCCCAGCTCCTCACCCATCCCCTTGCTTCATTACTCCCACTGTTTTAAATTCCACACCACACTTGGCATCTTCTTACAGCCAGTCCATGCCAAGGGTGCTTCAGGGGCTCCCTGTAACTCTAAAATGCCTTACCAGCCACACAGGCTCTTCATGATTTTGTTTATCTGCTTACTTGGGCACACACCTTACATTCTTTAGTATTCTAAATGCCATGTGCTTTCTCTCACCTCTAGATCTCTGCTTTTTCTACTGAAACCAAGTGAACCTGTACTTCACCTGGAAGACTTCTTAGTCTCTGTGTAACTATTAGTTCCTCCTAGAAGACTTCCTTGACTCTTTTTATTTGCTTCCATAATATCCCAAATGTGCACAGTAATTCACTTCTACATCTTCTTTGTTACACTATAAAATTATTGGTCAATGGCTCTATCTTCCTAATGAATTCTCACTTTATAAGTGAGACATAAGGTCAGAAGCACATAGTATGGCTGTAGATATGAAATACATGCATAGTAGGGCATGGCATAGAAGCCATAAGCCCTGTTGCTAAATAAATGGTCAAGAGAATAGGAAGCACCTAATCCAGATGGGCCTAGATTTAAATTATGGCTGTAGTTTGTATTACATGTAAACATGTTGATGTTTAATACACTCAGGTAGTCTTATTTTTCTCATCTCTAAGACAGAAACAATGATCTGTATCTTGTAGTGTGACCAGATGTCATTTTAGATGTCTAGCATTTTGTAGGTACTTATTTTTGTTTAAAACATAACCTATTAATAACGACATTGACATAAACAAATAGGTACAGTTCATTCATTTGATACTTATTCTTTAGCTAACATAGGTATAGCAGATGGCAAAGTACTTTTTTTCTTAAAAATTTTGAGAAAAGGATAAAATTTTAAAAGATGCATAGTTATATAAATTGGTTAAAATAAAAAAATGTATATCCTTTTAGCAAGTATAAAAATTTACTCAAGTGATTTGGTTTCCAGTTATTTTCATTTGTTTAAAAAATCCCTAAGAAAGAAAAATGTAAAGAAAAAATGAGAAAGCTTCTTGAAACCATAGTGAACTGTGCAAACTCAGGAGATGTAAAATTTGAACTTTTTGATTTGTATACATCTAAGTCCACTAACTGTTCTATTACAGAAAATCATGGCGCATTTCTGCCATACAGCCCTACTCCAGGTGGACACTCACCTGTCCGCCCAAAAGCATCTCTCTGGTTCCTGAGGGACCCGCTCACTGAGGCAATTGTGACCCGGTACTGCTCCCCAGCCTCCAGTCTGTGGAATGTGTGCTCAGAAACATGCTTGGGGATGGTCTGAGATTCCACCTTCTGATTCTGCCTGAATGCAGACACCACATAGGAGTCAACATCCCCACTGCCAGGGGTCCAGGTCACCTTCAGGCTATCTGTGGCTCCATTGGGAGAAATGTGAACATTTTTGACAGTACTAGGCACTAAAAAAAAAAAAAAAAATCAAACTAAATGTCATCATATAGAGAATGGTCTGTGGAAATTTAGAACTAGAATTTTCATGCAGGGCGGGGTATATAGTCACTTAGTGGTAGAGTGCTTGCCTAACACCTGCAAGACTGTGGGTTCAATCCATAGCACTGTGAAGGAAAGAAAGAGGGCGGGGAGGAAGGGAGGAGGCTAAGCTGAGTTGTCATGCTTTTTATATTTTGGCATTTTTGAGAGTGCACATCAAAGAAAAGGTATCACTCAGCTGTTTTTCTCTGACCTTTCTGCCTAAACTGAAGTTGATGGGAACATTTAGAGAGAGAGAGAGAGATCAAAGCCGAGCACCAGAAATGAAAAATGCCACTAATGGAGCAAGGGACTAATTAGGTTGCCTCAGTCTAAGTCTTGTTTTACTCTTTTCCTAGCTATGTGACTATAGGTAAAATTTCAAACCTCTATAAAATTTTATCTTAAAAAATGGCAATGATAACAGTAACCTCACACCAAGTTGTGAGGGTTGAACAGACTGTACACAGTGCTTTGCTGTGGCTCAGGGTAAACTGTCACTAAATACTATGCTAGTAACTCTCCCAAGAGGTTCAAGGACGTGACACCCATGTAAGAGTTATTTATTAAAATGTAAGAATCTGTGAGCCGCACAAGCACCAGCTATGCCTCAGCTCAATGCTAGTTCTCTTAAAGTTTGTCTCTGTCCACCTCATCATCTCACCCTTTGTTATCCAGCATGGACAACATCACTGTCATCATCATGATACCTTTCTCCTCCTTGAAATCTCCCTTTAATTTTAAGTGCCCGGGGTTTACAACCATCCAACACCATGATTACACTACTATTTCTGTGCTGGTTGAAAAACAGTATTTCAGATTACCCGTTAAGCCTTCAATGAAGGCTGACTGCTGTACGTCTCCACTGATGGTCAAGACAAGGATTTTGTACTGGCGCCCTGGTGTTAGGGAGGTGAACCGAAACTCGGTTGCAGTATTTACAAGGTGAAAAGAAGGAAATACTTTCATGTCATTGAAGAGCAGCTGGATCTCATACTGGTCAACATCCCCATCAGCTCGTGACCAGGTCACATGCAGGTCCTCAGTGCTCCTGTTCCTCAGCGTTAGATCCTTCACAGGCTCTGGGACTGAGGAGAAAAATGAGAAGATACTTCAGGAAACTAACTGATCAGAGTTTACCTACACGATAACTTAGGAATCACATTCGAGGAACTGGCAAACATCTCTCTTGCGTAAATGAAACACTCGATCTATTTTATGCATAATTAAGAAAAATTGGAAGCAACCAATAAAGTTGTGATTTTTCCTCCCGTCAAAATTCCTATATTCTACGTGTTGGTAGAATGGAGTAAAGAGTAGAAGGAATGGAGTAAAAGGAAAGGAATGGGGTAAAAGGAGTTAAGCGCTCAATCCTAAGATAAAACAAGTTGTTCAGAATTTTAATGCCACAGTGCAGGAAGACAGAAGAAAACTGGAGTATTTGGCCTTCTATCTCCCTCATCATGCTGGCTTTTACCTAATAATAAATATTCTGCAATGATAGGTCATGACAGTTACTGAAAATGTAAGTTACTAGTAAGTTAAAAATATTCAAGATTAAGATGAGTTAGTTACGCAGTGACCTTCACGTCCAGTCAAATTGCAATCCTTTCACTTACTTGTTCTCCCATTCCCTTGTTCGCTGGCTTCATATTGTCCACTTCTTGTACTAACAGTGATGCTGTACAGCCGTCCAGGAATTAGCTGAACAAATACACACTCATTTTCTGACTTAGGAATGCTTTTGGTTTGGATGAAGTTGTTTTTGTTTTTAATGGTGACCTCATAGTGATCAAAGTCACCTGTGGCGTGTGCCCAGGACACCTTCAAATAGTCACTCCTGGCAGAGTTGCTAACACTGACTCCTTGGACCTTCTCAGGCACTGAAAAAGAGATTAGAGAATGGCTAAAGATTTAGTGATACTGATTGAGCAATCAATCACAGATGACAATCTAGGACAATAGAAGAAAGCAACTAGATTTTTTTTCTTTTTATTGAGTTTATTGGTACATTCTAGGTATATAATACAGTTACATTCATTACGGATCTTGTACCTTTACATGACAGGTCTTGGTTCTCATTTTCTCCCCTTGTCCCTGCCCTCCCTTCACCCCCTCCTCCCCTCCTCATTTACAAACACTTTATTTCCATTTTTTAATTTTCTCATAATTTTTCTTTTCCCTTATTCCCTTTCCCCTAGCAACTAGATTTTTAATGTGTGCATTTTAAAGAAAAATCTTCAACTTTTAGATCACAAATTTCTGGAGTGAAAAGATTATCACACTACTTGACATGATTAAATGGATCTTTTAGCAGAACCTGATGAGAAAGATTTTTTTTGTTTGTTTGTACTGGGAATCGAATTTGGGTCCTTGTGCTTGAGAAGCAGGTGGCAGAACCACTGAGCTAAATCTCTGGCCCTTACAGAACCTGCTATTGTTTGCCTACGCAAAATGTCACATATAAAGTGGAGCATCAAACATGAAACTGCTGATTAATGTGAATGATGGTGAAGATATTAATAATTGCAGCATACGTTAGTGTCTTGAGATGTGATTAAAAAGTTACCAAGAAAAGAATAAACTCCCAAAATAAAAATAGAAGGGAAAACATATATGGTTAATCAATATATAAAGAGATGCTTTACATTATTAGTGATAAAGGAAATTCAAGACCACAATGAAATGCCATTTTCCATTTATCTGCATATTAAAATTGAAAAACCTATCTCCTAAGTGAAATAAATGAGTCACACATGTGTAAATACCGAATAGTTTCTCTGGTGTGAATAAACTATAATAGTACATAAGATCCTAATGATATAATGGACAATGTGAAATAGGAAGAAAGGGGCTAAAGGTGTAGGGAAAGTGGGAAGGGTAGGGGAAAGGTAATAAGGGAAAAGAAAAACGTATGAGAAAATGAAAAATTGGAAATGAAGTGTTTGTAAAGGGGGAGGTTTGGAGGGGTAAGGGAGGAAAGGGGTAAGGGAAAAAAATGAAACCAGGACCTGTCATGTAAAGGTACAAGATCCCGTTAATGAATGTCACTGTGCTGTATACCTAAAATGTACTAATAAACTCAATGAGAAAAAAAAAAAGAGCCAGGTTCATTGCAAAAGCACTGAAAAAAAAATCTAAAGAAAGAGAGGTATGAACAGACAATAAAAACTTTAAAGATCTTTAAAAAAATTTAAAAATCTAGTAAAACCAAGGATGGGAGAAATCTTTCCATTGGACAATATAATGGTCACATTATATGATTGTATAATTAATTTTATAGTAATATAATATATAAGCGTGAAATATTATATAATAGTCATAACTAATTTCTTGTAATTAACTCAAAATAAAAGTGTAGATTTCTTGCCCTTAATATCAAAACATAAAATATGGCAGAATCTGATCAATGTAACAACTGAAAAATCTAAATCTAAAGGAAGCCCAAAAGATTACATGTTGCATAAAAATAACTTTTTTAATTTCTAAAGGTGTAGGGGAAGTGGGAGGGATAGAGGAAAGCTAAGAAGGAAAAAGAAAAAAATAAAAGAAAAGGAAAAAAAATGGAAACAAAGTCTTTGTAAATAGGGGAGAGTGGAGGGGGTGAAGGGAAGGCAGGGGAATGGGGAAAAATGAGAACCAAGATACATCATGTAAAGGTGCAAGGTCCCAATGATGAATGTAACTATATTGTATATCTAAAATGTACCAATAAAGAAAAAAGAAAAAAAAAGGAATCTAAGGCTAAAAAAACCAACCAACCAACCAACTAAACAAACAAAAAAACAAGCCTTTTTTATAATATGTTTTTTATTTAGTTAAAGCAACTATAAATTAAAACCCCAAGTTTTAGGCCTGTACATAGATCCAATCAAACTATGCAAGATAGAAAGCAAGGAGATATGAACAAGAGTTGAGATGTTATCTTGAATGAATTAGTGAGGTGGGAATAACATAATTTCATACAGGTTATTGTCAAGGTCTTAGCTTTCATTTTAGTTAGCAATTCTTCATGTAAATTTTGAATTATTAAAAATTACTAACCAAATGGCTTAAAAGTAAGTATGAACTGATACATAGTTTTCTGAATCAAGAATTATGATTAATGCTATTTTGTGTACCTGAGGCTATTTCCAGTAAATATCTAAACAGCTTGGCATATCTATGGTTTTCCCCTCAAAAAAATATATAGGTAAATGCATACGACTAGGGACATTACAAAATAAGACAACTCTGTACTCAAAGAATTATCTTAAACTTATTCTTAGAGTTCTTTTAGAACTAAATTTGACTTATTGGCTTACAGATTCTTATCTCTTTGGACATAGCTAAAAAATATTAATGAGGAGAGTTGAAAAGAGGCATGATCTCAGATCTAGGATATAACTTCTGTCCCAATATTAATACATCCTTTAGGCCTGTAAACTTCTGTATGTGTTTAGTATACCTTAAAGAATTTCTGTTCTGATTACATACCAAACCTGTATTCTTCTCTTCCTCTTGCCCCAGAATCATGAAATAATTCAGAAATTTCAGTATTTGGGTATCTAAGCTACATTACAATGCTCTCTACACCTACAAGTTGTACTAACATTTTTTGTGGGATTATATTTACTGATTAGTTTTTATATTACACTATAGCTCACCACAGGCTTAGAGCAAGGACAGATAAGCTTTTTTCTCCAAAAAAATATTTGCCTGAAGCCAATGACAGCAATGCTAGGATTTAGCCACTGTAGAATTAAGAAGAAATTCTGAAGTGGCATTATATGTATGGGCTAAGAAATGTCAATGATCCAGGCAGTTTACTGAAGGCAAAACAATTATTACAAGAAGAAAAGCTAGACTGAATACCATGTCAGGTCAATAAGGAGCTCACCAGGTAGAGCTGAAGTAATTGGTGAGCACTGTCTTGCTGCATGATAAGATGGCGTGATACAGAACAAGAAACATTGGCATTTTCACCCAAAATGTAGAAGAAGAGCATTAGAAGAGGAAAAAGAAATTAAGATGATCAGCCAAAATCAACAAAACAACAACTCAGACATGACTCTCCAGTTAAAATAAATTTCTTCCGTTAGTCAAGCACCAAATCTAAGTTCATGCTGGTAGAAGAGTCAAGAGGTTGCTTTGAATAGGGGCTCTCTTTTATTAGATTTAGAAACAACCTTAACAAAAGAATCTTGCATTATTGAAGTCATACGGATAGGGCACATTCCTGAGTGGATGCTATTAGGAAGCAAGGGGTTAGCAATTGGATAAAACAGTGTTTAATTTCTAGTGACTTTTCGGCTCCAAGTTGATCAGTATGATACATTGACTTAAGACTACTTTGTAAATGGAAATCAGCTTCTCAGATTTAAGGCATTATTGTGATCATTAGTGTAATTAGACTTTAGATTGTTGGAAAGTATGAATATACCTTTCCGGTATAGATGATGTAATGGCTGAGCTCTGCTACTGATCACAGCTATGTGGCCTTAGAGAAACCACCCTTTCGCTGTTTCCAAATGAGAAGAGGGGATTAGGTCATTGTATCTTCTCAATCTTAGCATTCTGTAATAATGTAAGGTAAGGGTTCTACACTTTTGGGACAAAACTATGAAATCTGAGAAAAATTGTGCACACTTTCTCCAAAGAAATGCACAGACATTTCTTATTCTTGACAACTTCCCTGGTACTTTTCAGGGGTTACTTCATGTCTAAAAACCACCCATGGCCCACAGCGTGAGTGAAAACCATGGCGTTCTGGTTATTCCTTCAACAAATACTTGTTGAGTGACTGCTAAGCCTCAGATTCTGTGTTAGGTAATAGGATAATGACAATTGTCCCTAATCCTTATGAAAAAAAAGACATTTTTATTTTTATTTTTTTAAATTTTTTGAGACAGGCTTTCACTATGTAGTTGAGACTGACCTGGAACTCACTATGTAGCCCAGGCTGGTCTTGAACTCACAGCGATTCTCCTGCCTCAGCCTCCTGAGTGATGGGATTACAGGCGTGCACCACCACGCCCAGCAAAAAAGGACATTTGTAAAGGCAAAATAAATAAATAAATAAATAAAAAATAAACAAATAAAAAAAATGATTCCAGAGCTCAGGAAAAAGACTGGACAAAATATTGATGTCAATTTTAAGCAAAAATCTCAGAAGTCAACCCCAAAGCATAAATATATTGGGGAAATCGTAGCAATCTATATTTAGTTCTTTCTAGCACATCAAAGACCTGACATTCATGTGCTAAGATTTTTGCTCCCCAATCTCAGAACTATACAGGTTCACATTTTCACCTTATATGAAAAAAGATAAATAGTAGTCTCGACCAACACACATTTCATAGAAGATTTTTTTTTTTTTTTTGATACCGGGGATTGAACTCGGGTCCTTGCACTTGCAAGGCAGGACACCGAACCGCTGAGCTAAATCCTCAGCCCTCATGGAAGATTTCAGCACAGAAACATTTGTAGGCTCTTGAGTCAGTCAGAGTAAGATTTAAATCCAAAATCTGAAACGTTAACAATGCTGTTTAACAAGGTGGACAGTTGGGCAAGTTACTTAACCTCCTCATATCTTGATTTCCTAATATATAAAATGGGAATCATAACAGCTATTTCACTTAGGCATTTATAGGGTTAGAAAAGCCAGTTACTAAAAAGTACTCCCTAAGCAGAAATACTTGCTACAATATTTGAATATAATATGAATTCTAGCCATACAACTTCTGCTAACCTTCCTGTAAAGGTAACATCTGGTCACAGGAGGAGTTTCTGGGATCAAAATACAAAGACTCCATCACAATTTTGAGATCTCATCTGCCTTTTGTGCTATCAGCATGGGACTGCTACTACTACATAATGCCTTGAGCTACACATCTAGGTGGTTTTTATGCCATCCTGCGCCTTCACGCATCCTTACCTGTCCGCTCTTGGCCAAAAGAATGATTCTCATACTTGCCACTCCTGGTAGTTATGGTCATGTTGTAGAGGCGGCCTGGGGTGAGGGAACTGAAGGAACATTCACTGACAGATTTAGCAATGATGAGGGACTGAACCACCTTGCCATAGTGAGAGAGTGTCACCACATAGCTATCCACATCACCAGCTGCTGGCAGCCACGATACGCTGAGGTAGTCATTTCGGCCTAAATTGTTCACCGTCACTCCAGTCACACTGGAAGGGACTGTAATTTTAAAAGAGGAGAAAATATAAAAAGAAAACACAATCAAAAGATTTTGATCAAAAGATCAAAAGAAATCACAATCATCTGTTGTGTTGTGCTTATGGAAAACTACGGACTAAGGACATCTAATCTGATTACCTCAGAGGTCAAGGAAGAGTGAGGATGTCGTATTAGCACACATTAGCATCTGGAAGCTGAGTACTTTCTTTTTTGGTGGTACAGGGGATTGAACTCAGGACCTTAAGCTTGTGAGGCAGGTGCCACTCCAGTGAGCTAAATCCCCAGCCCTAGCTGAACATGCTTACATCAGGAGACTAAGTAAAACAAAAGCAAAGGGAGGCCATTTGGGTGCCTCATAAACACTGCATTTTTAGGGCTTACCTTGTGTGAAATATTTTTAAAAATTAATTTTATTAGTACATTTTTGGTATACAATATAATGACATTCATCATTGGGAATTTGTACCTTTACACGATGTATCTTGGTTCTTATTTTTTCCCCATTCCCCTGCTCTCCCTTCAACGCTTCCAGTCCTCCCTATTTACAAAGATTTTGTTACTCCTTTTTCATTTTCTCATATTAATTTCATTTCCTTTTTTCTTTTCCCCTACCCTTCCCACTTCCCCTTCCCCTTTGCACCTTTTCTTCCTATTTCACATTATCTATTATACCCTTTGATTCTTGTTTTTGTTTTGTTTTGCTTGTTTTTGTATTGGGGATTGAACTCAGGATCTTGAGCTTGTGAGGCAGGCAGCAGAACCACTGAGTCAAATCCCCAGCCCTCTGATTCTTATTTACACCTTCAGTTTCTCATACCAGAGAAACCCTTCGGTAGTTCCTGTGTAAAATATTTGAAATAGGGACATTTTTGTACACATGTATTCAGATGTTCCCTGTAGGAAGGGCCCCACACATCTTAAGGAACCAAATGAATCAACTCGAACCAAACCAATGAAGCCAAGGCGTTTGAGGGGAAAGGTGAAGAATGAAATAGCTTTCTTAAAGAGCTTAGATTTTGGGGTATCTTTGCTCTTCGTGTAATGAAGTTATTTACTCCTGGGGAGTTCAATAGCTGACAAAACTAGAGGAATTGTTTTCCCTTTGCAAAGCGTTTCCTGCCCTCTAGTGGTTAGAAATAAGACTAAACGTATCCTGAACACAGTCTGGAAACTGGTCAGAGACAGCACTTATGGTGATAATGGCCTTTCTAATGGCAAGTATAATTACTTGTTTATATCGCCTGGGGATCGATGCACAGACATTTGCTGAGAACTTTCTACTTGCCAGCTGTACAAAAATGCGAACAGCATGGATACTTTCTAAGAACTCTCTTGCTAAAAGTACATAGATTGCAAGTTAGTAAATTGTGGTGTTGAATAAAAGGTGTACATAATGTATTGGAGATAAGTATCTGAGGATCAGATTAATGTCTGGCAGCGTCAAGACCGCCGCACCCATCTCTCTTGAGAAAACTCCGAGGCTAATAGGAAGGGAATAATCCGCCCCTCGGGTGTGTAGAGATCTGACCTTAGACAGATAAACTGTTCGTCTCAAAAACCTCTAAAGTCCTGACTCCATTCGCCTCAGCCCCTAAAGCATACAATCCAAAAACTAACATGTGGCCAATAAGGATGTGCCAGATATCCCGACTCCACCCTGGTTCCAAACCTGCCTTATCCTATCCAGTAGCGATCCAGCAGCGCCATCCTGGCTCCACCCCCGCCTTACGCTATATAAACCTGTGCATTTCCCGAATAAAGCTGAAGCATTCCAGAAAGCTCCCCGTGGTCATTCCACGCCTTGCCCTCCCAGTCGGGCCCCTGAACCTTGTTCCACGAGCTCATGGACGAAAACAACAAGTATCTAATAAATAGTATTACCGTTAGTAAACATAAGAATAAAATCTTTCAGTGTGCATGAGTTGCATTATCGTTTTCACCATTAGTTGATTAACTTTAACTGATTATTACTATTATTATTATTATTATTATTATTATTATTATTATTATTATTTGCAGTCCCTGGGATTGAACTCAGGACCTTGAGCTTGTGAGGCAGGCATGCTGCCACTAAGCTAAATTCCCAGTCCTTAACTGATTATTTTTATATAGTTGCTAATATCAGTATGTTACATATAAAGGATAGGATTAGCTGAGTAACTTCTGAGACTCCTTCTAATTTTAATATGATCTAATTTTGTGAGTCAAGCACCCAAATCAATCTTAAACCAAAAGTTATATACAGCAACCTATTCAGCAATTCTTTTAATTTTATTACATTTTATGGACATGTCCTAAATATAAAGTTAAACTTTTATCCATAAAATTTATATACTGGTGTATTTCCTTCCTTCCTTCTTTCTTTCCTTTTTTCCTTGCTTCTTTTTACTATCCACACATACCTTGGTTAGTCTCAAAATAGTATCTTTTCTTTTGTCAAACTGTTGGAAATACTTGTAATTACTAATACTTTATTAGAAAAGATACAATTATCAAAAATTTTGTCAAATATTTAATTTATTTGTTTAAGAAAACTATGTAACAAATTTGTACCTTTTTCCTTTAGAATGAGCATTTTTTCATATTAGTGTTAAATTTGTTAAACATATAATATCTTTACTTTCAAATACTATCTTATCTAGGTTGGAAGGATTTATTTATATGTTTCAACTCTTTGGAAACATGTGAAAGATAAGAAAAGCTTTGAAAAATGTTTTTGATATTGACCAATATTTTAGCATTTGAAAAGGTGGTAACCATTACTTAGACACTTTCTGAAATCACGAGTTATTGTGTTTCTGTGAGTGTCCCATTTTTCCATAATTCTTGGATATAATAATACCTGCTTATACTTAATAATATTTTGTGTTTTCCTACACATTTGTGGTCATTCTTCAAAGAATATATTTTCTCATTTTTGAATACTCCTACCATATGAGTCAAATACTTATTCCTCTGTTAGACTTAAAATAGAACCATAAAAGTAATTACAAATCCCATTTATTTCAAATATCCACTTATTTCAAGTGATAGTAGACATTAAATTATTTTAGTATATCACAGTGAATTGGACAGCCTTTATGGCATTTTATTAGAATTTTTTGTCAGTTCTGCGAAAGAGATCCAGGGCCTCACATACGTGAGGCAAGTGCACTACTTCTGAATTATACTCTCAGACCCCTTGTGGTATTTTTAACATGAGAATTAACCTGTGTGAAAAAACATGACTCATTGTGCACAAAATATTTCCTTTTCCTCTTGACACACAGCTAGACTGTATTTCCCAGCATCCACTGCAGTTAGGTATATCTAATTGTGGCCATGTAACTGAGTTCTGGGCAGTGCAATGTGAATATAAGTGATGTGTCTGCTTCAGGCTTGGTAATCTGTGCCATCCTTGATCCTCATCTCCGCTTCTGTTCTTAGAGGAATGGGGAGAGCTCTGAGAATCTAGAGGAATGGTGAGATGGTAGGATCCTGGTTCCCTGGCTTGCTACTTGGAGAAGAATCAACCAATGGAGCTGTTCAATGAGAAACACCCGAATTGCATAGTTCTGTATACCTCTTTCTAGGGTAACTGCATCTGATGCTCAGAATTAGAGCATTGGGATACAGAAAGAAAAGCCTGAAATCTCACCTATGTTAATCATAAAAAATTAAGTAGGCAAGGCCATTGACTTGACTCGCCATTCACCAATAATTATTAAAGTTTCTGTTTGGTTTATATAATTTTTTCTTAAGAAACTAGAACATAGATTTTTATGTATTATATGAAATGATATGTTAGTATGTTTAGATTTATGTACTTTTCTTGCATCATGTAGAAAATTACATTTGGTGCCAAGGATCTCTGATATACGTGACCATAATGATACTTATTTCTCTACTTAGCTCTATTGCCTATTTGACTGGATACACTTTAAGTCAGGAAGATTGTTTAGGTGGCATACAGTACTAAACACTTTTTAATATTGCTTATAAAAATACATATGGCTTTTAGCCAGGCACACTGGCATATCCCTGGAGCCCTAGTTACTAGGGAAGCTGAGGCAGGAGGATCACTTGAGCCCAGAAGTTTGGGATAGACTGGGTAACACCGACTCTATATACATCAACTTTTAACCATGTAAATTAGAGATCATTTCTTTTCTAAGTCTTAAAACCAATAATATAAATACAATGGACGATCCTTCATTTTTTGTTTACCTTAATTGGGCCATAAACATTTCAAAAGAAATCAACTAAGTGAGAGGATTAGTTCAGGCATCAAGTGCTGAAATGTTTGTTGGAAAGTTTAGAAATATCGTATTTATTCTCTCCCATTCTTAACCACCAGTTAATTTCCATGCTACATGCACTGGGATGGTATTGAAATTTGGCTTTTATGAGGAAGAACTAGGTCTGTTTTCAGTATGTTTTCAAAATTCTGCTTGGGGTCAGAGATCCTCATCTATTCAGATTTCCCTAAGTTACAGATACTTACGTCTCCTCTTCTTACCTGTTCTTCCTTCCACCACCACTTGTCGGGATGAGATCCCTCCACTCACTGTTGTTACCACCACAGAGTAGAGGCTGCCCGATTTCAGAGAATGGAAGCTGTATCTATGAGTCTCACTGGTGACACTTTCATTTTTGATAACCACATTTTCATGGATCAGTAAGAGTTGGTAGAATTCTGTGTCTCCCAGTGCCTCTGTCCAGTTAGCAAACAGACTACTTGTCATCCCTTGGTTGGCCACATGCAAGTCAGTCACTTGGGCAGGCACTAAAACACAGTAGACAGAAGACAAACAAAAGATACTTACTCACCGTAAGAAAATGCAGAAATATGGGTCAAAAAATGTAAACAACTTGAAAAATGCTAAAAAAGTGTTTTTGGTTGTTTTAGCTATAAACTGTCAGTTCTATTTCTTGTGGCACATGGCGAATTACTCCTTTCTTGAGGCTCTGCTACTGTGATACAGCTGTTTTTATGGTAAATCAAAACTATTTGTGGTCCAAGGATGAGGTGGTGCATATTTGTTAGATTTTATTTTAAATAATGAGGAGCTGCTATTTTTGAAGATTTATTTAATGTGATTTTTTTTTTCTGTCCTTACATCCATGACAATTCAAAGCCATGTGATCTATCTGAGCCACTGACTCTTATGGAGTGCCTAGTGATGAGGTCTAACATACTGATTAGTTCTTTACTGGTACATTCTCAAAGGGAATTATATCATACACAATAGTGTTAAGAACAATATAAACTACATTATTATCTATAAAATAATAATGATAATATATCAGCTACTGAATGCCTACTCCACACTGAATGTGTTATAGGACAAAGTTGTCTATTATTCTTTTTACTAAAGAAAAACCAAATACCATAAAAAGTAAGTTTTTAGCTTATATTGAAGTGCAGACAAATAAGCAACCCAGGAATATGTCTAACCTCTAAGTTTGTTATGACCTTTTCCTAATTAACAACTACTGCTACTTCCAAGCTGTCCATGACCAAATCTTATATACAGATATTGACTTGGCACTTGGTCAAGATATATTCTTTGTGCTTCTTTCTTCAACCATAAGATCAGAACTTTAGCTTAGTTCTTCTCTGAGTTTGTTGACTTTTGCATTGATACAAATATACTCATTTAAAAATGTCCTATACATGGATCAGAATATTCTATCCCAACTTTCTAATTTTATATAGAAACAAAGAACTATATGACCAAAATAATTTTAGGAAAAGAAAGCACAAAGTTGGAGGACTAACATCAACTGATTTCACTAGAAAGCCACAGTAATTAAGCCAGTATGATATTAGCAAAGGACAAAAGGGCATACATTTGGTGGGACCGAACTGAAAGTCCTGAAATAGAAAACAAATATATGGTCAACTGATGTTTTTTAAAACAGAGAGGCAAAGAAAATCTAGTGGAGAAAGGACAGTCTTTTAAAAAACTAATTCTGGAATTACCAGTATTAGATGTCCATATGCAAAGAAGCCTCGATACCATATATTAAAATTTACCCAAAATGTTTGATAGATCTACATTTAAAGCCTAACACTAAAAATCTTCTAGAAAAAATTTTGTGTGATCATGTGTTAGTCACAGATCTTTTTTTTTTTTTTTTTAGGTATGATACCAAAAGTGTGACTTATGAAAGAATAATTTATTGGACATTAAATTGGACATCATGTACTTCTATTTAACAAAATATACTAATAAGATGAAAAAACAAGCCACAGACGAGAAGAAAATATTTTTAGTTTCCATTTCTGACAGAGGACTTGTGTCTAGTACGCAGAACTCTCAAAACTCAGTGATAAAAGAGCAATTTACAGGAGAAAATGGGTAAAATACTTCAAAAGAAACTTTCCCAAACAAGATAAACAGATGGTGAATAAGCACATGAACACATTCTCACATCCATTAGACATTAGGGAAAGATAAATTTAAACCACATGAGATACCACCACCCACCTATAAGAATAGCTTAATTATAAAACAAATTGATAATGCCAAGTGCTGCCAAGGATGTGGGGAAACTGGACATCTCATATTTTGTTGATAGGGATTCAAACCCTGGAGTTTGAGACTAGTCTTGGCAGCATCTAAAAAAATGAATACACAAATGAATACGTAAAATAAAATTTCAAAGCCAGAGTGGAAAAAAGATTGGCAGTTTCTTAAAAAGTTGAATGTACACATACAATATGACACAGTTGTATGGTAGTGGGGATAAAGGAAACAATCTTAGGTCTAATGCAATGCCCTGACTCTCCTGTTTTGGCAGTATGATGAGCTAGGAACATGAAAACTCTGGAGATAAACACAACATATACCTTGGATTAAATATAAAAAAGTAGTTAGTTGGGTGTGGTGACACATTCCTGTAATCCCAATGGTTTAGGAGGCTGGGGTGGGAAGATCGCAAGTTTAAAGCAAGCAAGGACAAATTCTTGAAACCCTATCTCAAAATAAAAAATGAATAGGGTTGGAGGTATAGTTCAATGGTAAAGCACCCCTGGGTTCCATCTTTAGTACAACACACACACACAAATAAATAAACAAACAAATAAATAAATGAATAAATAAATGAGTTATTAATAGTATAAGCAGTTCTAAGATGCTACAATGTAAGCAAAAGAGAGGTAACTGGATCACTGAAGCAAACTTGCCTTAGGGACATCTTTCAAACATAAATTTAAGTTTTAAAAGCATCTCGGAATCTCAAAAATGAGATATAAAATGTGGGACCTTTTTAGGCTGAGGAGTCTTATAAATGACTGTCTGCATAACACTGGATCCTGAAAGGCTACATTCCAAGTATAAGTGAAATAAGTATTCAATCTCTATTCCTCACACTACCCCTAGCCTTCTTAGCCTCGGGTGGAGAAAAATGATTTCTTTGAGAATTTATAATTTTAAAATAGATTCAAGGTGTTTTTAACTTGGAGTCATAAAATCTGGTGTTCAAAAAACCTCAGGTTGACAACTTTTATTAAAGTAGGTGATGGTTGACAGTGGTCCTGTGCACTTGAAAGATAACATTAAAAAAATCCCTCTTTTGGGAATCCACCTTCAAACAAGGCCTCACAGAATTCTCATAGAATAAAATTCCAAGAAATATGAGCTTGTGGTTTAAAAAAAGTCCAAGGAATAAAACACTATGAACAAAAGGCAGCAAAGTCAAGAGTGCAAGACTTAACTCCCGAAGATGTCACATATTATAATGATCAACAGAATGTAAAACAGATTTTTTTTTTCGGTACCAGGAATCAAACTCAGGATCTTGTGCTTGCCAGGCAGGTGTGGTGCCACTGAGCCACATCTCCAGCCCCTAAAACAAAAATTTTAATTTCCAATGCTAATAAAGAATGAAAAGACAACTAAAGAGCAAAAGATCACAATATAGATTTGAAAGAGAATCAGGGAGGGTATTTAAAAGTGAAAAGCATAGCAATTAAAATCAAGGGGTACCCTTAACGTTGAGGAATGATATTATCTGAAAATAGCAAGGTAACAAAAATATTTGTACACGTAGATCACTACTGTGAAATAAAAGGATGTCAAAGGTAAAGAGTAGATCTTAAAAATACTCATACCAAACAGACAGATTTCTCATAGTAGAATAGGATTAGGCTGACAACTGACTTTTCAACAGTTACAATACTGGGACAGTGGTGCAAGCCTGTAATACCAGTACTCAGGGGAATCGTTGTCAGTTTGAGGCCAGCCTGAGCTACGTAGTGACACCCTGCCTCAAACAATGGAGACGACCAAGACAACAACCAGCAGCAGCAGCAACAATAAAGTCTAGAATAACATCTTCAAAGGGCTGAGGGAAAATAGCTTTCAGCATTACATCAAAACATAAGATCATAGGGCCAGGGATTTAGCTCAGTGATTCCGCTGCCTGCCTTGCAAGTGCAAGGACCCGAGTTCGATCCCTGGTACCAAAAAACAAAAACAAACAAACAAACAAATAAACATAAGATAATACCTTGCAAGACTGTGAACTATATAAAAACATGCTCAGAGAAGCTAAAGTGGCGAGAGTTTTTCCCTATGAACTCTCAATAAAGAGATTTGAAGACTGTCCTTCAGGATGAAGGAAAAGGATATCATACGTAACTCAAGATACAGAAAGGAGGGGAAAAGTGGTAAATTGGTAGACAAATCTAAGAGGATAAAACAATTCTTCTATTCTGTATAAAACAATTATTATATTTTTAATGCAGTTCAAAAAGGGAGAAGGAAATACAGGTTACCAATAGCATGTAAATTTGAAAGGTGCATTGCTGAGGACATTGTTCCTATTTCACTGAGAAAATGAGAGCAATTGCAAACAGCTCTATAGCACCTCTATCCACCTTCCGGTATCTGTGCCCAGCCAACATGAGTTAAATTACTCATGCTCCTTTCTAAGGCTAATGCCTTCCCTTGTGCTCTAAACCCAATGCCACCCACTACATGCAGAATGAGAGCAGCAGCTTCCCCTCTTTACATCATCATCCTTTCTCTCTCATCCATTCAGTCCCATCAGTGTAAAACATATTACTTTTTCTATGCTTAAAAAAAAAAAACCCACCTGAGGTGTTGGTTTATGGTTTTAGTTTTTTTTTTTTTTGGTACCTGGGGTATAAAAATAAAGAAAAAAAAATGATCCTCCTTGCAACCATATTCCCTCTTCTCTATGCTGTTCCATTCCTCTTCTTTCTTTGGTAACAGGAGGGGATTATTCTCTATTGTGTTCCAGTTTTAGCCAAACAAACCCAAGAGTAAAAAGAAGGAATTAATGAAGATAACAGCTGAACTTGGTAAACAGAAAACACAATAGAAAGGGTCTCTAAAAACAATGTGAAGTACATATTAGTCATGAAATAAACACCTGCAATAGCACGTTAAATAATACAGCAATCAGAACACTGTAAAATTCAAAATTCATAGAGATTATTACCTGTTCTTCCTTTTACTGAAGAGGAATTTTTCAAGTCTCCACTGATGCTGGTGACTGTGGCTGTGTACTTTCGTCCAGGCACCAGATCAGTGAAAATGAATTCTTTGGTGTCTTTGGAGAGTGACTTGTGGATGAGTAAGAGGTCTCTGTCAGCTAGGGAAATGATGTACTTCTCCCACTCCGATACAGGTGTCTGCCACATGATGCCCAGTGAGCTTTCATTGGCATGTTTGACCCGAAGCTGGAGGACCGCCAGGGGAACTGAGGAAAAAAATCATTGGAGCCTTGGAAAAAGCATTGATTGCCTTGGACAGAACTTCTAAAGTAGTTTTTAGAGAGTTGTTCTCTTCCATTCTCAGTTGTGTTCCAGTTCAACATTTCTTTTCTAAATGCTTATGAGTATTAAGAGGAAGTGGGATCTTATCACAAGAAACTTGGTTTATGAACAGAACCAGAAATAAGGATTCAAGACAATACTGTTGGAAAATACCAGCACTTGCTGTAAAGTCATTTATTTTTGATCACACATTACTTTTTTAGGTTTATCTTGTCCTGTGTATTCTGTGACATAAAAAATTTACCACAACCCTATCACCCACAACACCATAAGGAAAAGTCTATGCTTGAGTGTTTAGGTGGAAGGGGGAGTATTTACTACCCCCAGTAATTTGGAAAGACCAAGTGCTTCTTTCCATCATTTCTGAGGATGGAAAGCTATTTGTCACAAAAGAGAGAGGTGGCTGGTAAGTAACAATAGCATCTAGTTACAAACACCTCTTACCAAAAGGATAAAAACTGTTTTCGCTTCTTTAAAAGATTTTATGAACAAAATTTTTAGAAGATATTAGTAACAGCAAGGTGTTGGTGCCACAGACTAAAAGGAATACCCAATTATGAAGTAATCAAGTGTTTAAAATTATACTGTGATTTCTGCATCAAAAGACTTTTTTATAATTCTATCCCAATTGAACATCTTTCTTCTCCAGCTTATTAATGATTATTTACACCAAAGATTTACTTTATTCATCATATGCAAGTAAAGCTTAACAAAAAGTTCTAAGAGTCATACCAGCATGAGGAGGTCTCCACTCTGCCTAGATCTTACATTTCCAAACTATTTGAAGTGAATGATAAAATGCTGTGGTGGAAAAAGATGCCTGTCTTGTGACTACTAAAAGTAGCTTTGTTTAAGCTTATATAGCTCTTTGATCACCCTCCGATGGCTATTAAAATTCAGAAGATTTTTGAAAATTCTTCGATAATTACAATTGGCAAGCCAAGGGGGTGTCTTGATCACTTTATTTGGGCATTCTTCCAATAAGGATATTGAACGAATGTAGCTATTTTCTTATTATTGGGCCAGATTGAGAGACAAGATATTTGAATTTCACTGCAAGTGCAGAATATTTCAGATCCTATTGATTAGCACAGATTTGTTAAACTTGAAAGTCTCTTATTTGAAAGCTGAGAAAACAGGCTCAGAGGAGTTTCTCGAGAGATTGCACTGAATGATGACAGCAAGAATACCAAGACCCACGTTTCAGTGTCCTTGGTCTCCCTTTCCCTGATATACAAGCACATTCTTATCTCCTTTCACCACCCTTTCTTGGTACCTGAAATACTCACATTAGATCACCAGCAAAGGTTCTTCCAGAGAGAGAGAGGATCTGTCTTTATTCTCAGATCCTCTACTTATTCTTTTGGCATTGAGAATATCATTCTTTAATGAAATGGTGGTATTATGAACGGAAAGGACCTCTGATGCTCTAATTTAGCAATATTAAATGTTAGAAGCCCTATGCTAACCTGAAAATCTGCGATGTCTCGAATTCATGGAATCCTGGGTTATGACACTGGTGGTTGGCCGGGTTGCTCGGAGAGGGAGCAAATTAAAATTCCACCAGTCATTAATACCTTCACATTTGCTTACCTGTTCTGCCTCGGCAACGCTCAGAATTCTTTAGATTTCCACTCACAACTGTGACCTCTACCTCATACTGTCTTCCTGGTACGAGACCCTCACCACCTACGACGTAACGAGTTTTCTCCTTTCCCACGGTGGAGTTCAGCAATATTGAAGAGTCATTGAGGAGCACGACGCGGTACTGCTCCCAGTCTCCAGCAGGGGGAGACCAGCTCACTAAGAGGGAACTCATTCGATCATTGTTTTTTGCCTCAAGGTTCCCAACTTTGTCTGGAACTAAACAATGAAATTATGTCAAGAAGAAGGTACTAAAAACAAAAAAATTAGAATACTCAATTACTTTTCATAGGCAGCAGTAAATAGGAGACACAATGTCTGCAATTCAAAACATTTCTATCCCTTCCCGGTGTCCGTGGAAGATCAATTATTCCTCTTCCGTTTTGGAGATTTTGATACTCAAGAATGTGTGCTAAAATAATTTTTAATAATATAAACAGTACACACTCTTCTGTAACATGGTTAATAATCTAGTGATGTAACTGGTGTCTTCTGCAAATTGCACCCCAGCCCAAGAGACAATACTGATGCTGCTTCTAATGATGGTGACCATGATAGATGTGGCGTCCTTTAGAAGAGATCTGGATGTTGTGGTCATGAAACATTTTTGGTTTTCCAACTGAGAAAAACAATCTTCTTGCACTATATCTCTGGTTACATTATTGCTTTGTTTACAAACACTCAAAGTCTCCTAGAAAACTACAGGATAAAAAAAACCCTTCACTTGCATTTGTGGCTCTTCAAATTCAAACTACATATCCTTTCAGTCTTCCTCTGAAACTTCCCTCTCTCCTTCCTTCCTGCTTCCAGTATTGGCTTCCACTTGTATATTCTGTAGACCTGTAGGTCTCCTGGGCTTTCTGACTCTGTGTCTTTGCTTATTTATTCTTTCCACTTTAAGTACCCTTCACTTCCCCCTTCATTTGTCAAGAAGTTAACACCTTTTAGATCCCAGGCTATTTCCTTCAAATTTTCACTGATCTTTTGAGGGACATTTTGACCTCTTTCCTTTTTGAGCATAAAGCTCTTACTTGAGATCTCTAATACCACAGAGATTGGAGTCTGGAATCAAATAGCACGGTTTAAATTATAGCTCCACCATTCACTGGCTGGATGGTTAGGAACAAGTTATTTGACTCTTGATTATCTGGAAAGTGGTCATCATAAGAGAACATCTCTCATAGTTTTTTCATGAGAAATAAATGAAATAACGGGTGTAAAGTGTTTAGTCAATGACTGAGAGACAGAAATATCAGTATCACTACTAATTATTGAGATATTATTTTTAGTTTTGTTTGTATACATTCAATATCCATAAAATTAAAAATGTAACCTCTTTTAAGCAAGGGTCTACAATTGCTTTCTGTAAGGGCAAAATGGTAAACATTTCAGGCTTGCAGGCCACATATGATCTGTATTTCATATACTTCTTGGTGTTTTTGTTAGTTTTTACAACCCTATTTTGTTTTGTTTTTGTTTTTGTGGTACCAGGGATTGAACTCCAGACCTTGCTCTTGTGAGGCAGGTGGTGGCACCACTGAGCTAAATCCCCCACCCCTACAACTCTTTAAATACATAAAAACTTCTCATCTTGGGGCAATACAAAAAAGCTACCAACCAAGATTAGTGATAGAGTGGTGTTCAGAACCTTTTGTTACCGTAAGCGTAGTAGCATGTCTTATCCATTTTAACAGTGCTCAAAGCTCATAACACAGTAATTGATTCTTACAAGGCACTGGGTAAATATTTAGTGACATAAATAAATGAAATGATTTATAGAAAGCCTGGTTAAATACTGACTGATATTCATTATAAGAATAGATCAGCAGGCTAGTGATTTGGCTCAGCAGTGCTGTGTCTGTCTTGCAAGCACAAGATCCTGAGTTTGATCCCCAGTACCAAAAATAATAATAATAGTAGAAATAAAGAAGATCAGAAATGTTTTCTTTATTTATATCAATTCTAATGTATTTATGGTACTTAAGTCATGTGACATTGAAAAGCACGGGACAGAGATAATATGCAGACCATTCAGAAATCCATATATATTTGCTTAAATAACTTAAATTAATTCAGTTAACCCTCCTCTTTATTTATTGCATGTATTGGATACTGGCTCACAGACATTGTTGGTCAAATGGACTGCATCTCAAGAAAGTTTCTCTTCTATCTTATTTTATCCTATTCTAAGATGGATCAGAGAATGCCTTCAGTAGCCAGAGAGTATTCTGGAGCCCAAGACTTACCTGTTCTGCCTACTGCCATCTTCTGAGCTGATAGTTCACCAGAGATACAGTTGATGATAACTTGATAAAGTCGTCCAGGGGTTAAGTCTTTGAAGTGAGTTTCAGTAACCTGAGGTGCTAATATTTTGGATTCTTTGATGGTTCCTTGGTGAGACAGGGTAATATTGTAGATATCTATGTTTCCAGGAGGTCTTTGCCACTTGACTTTTAGAGAGGTTAAACTGCCATCATTTGTCACTTTCAGATTTGAGACTTCCATGGGGACTAATTAGCAAAGAATGGAAAAGAGATTTTACTCAGGATTTCATACCAGTCCTACAGCTAAATTTTGACCTCTATTTTAATTCCTTCAAGCCCTACTCACTGATATAAAGAATATAACCACTCTGAGAGACAGAAGTAATACCTTAAAACAACAAAAATAATATTGTAAGGCTAAAGAAGGCTGCCTGGCTCATGGCAAGAGCACAGACCTGGCAGTCAGGATCCTGAATTCTGTTTGGGACTTCGTCAGCTCTCCACAGCACTCTGGCAGCTCTCTCTGTATCTCACTGAGTCTAGAGTTCCCTATTGGCAAATAAAGCTTGGTAAAAAGACTTAAAATGGCCCTTTCCACTCTGAAATTCTTTAGGAAGAATGTACAAAGATGTCCGTCAAAATTTTTTCTCATCTTAGTGTGTGTATATAT